CAGCAAAATATCTATGATACAGTTAAGTTGAAGAAAGATCCAAGGGAAAAATAACTTAAAAGATGTTTGTAAAATTAAATATTTTTAATGTAACTTAAACAAGTTGCCAAAGAAATAAAAAAAAAAAATCTGTTAGCAAATTAAGATTGATGTGGAGGCATAAAATTGAGAATATCATTTAAAATGTCTGAAAACATTTGTGCTTTAGAACGCTACTAATTGCATATGCTACTCAAATAAGAATTTAATTGGTTATGGTCAGTGCTGCATTGACGTTTATTTCGCCATTCCACACTGCCTCATAACCTTTCAATAGTAACGCAGAAATGTTCAAATCTAGCCTCTTTATTCTTCGATGTTAAAACCATTTCCAATAGTCTCAGAACATTACAGTGGCATCAATAATATTTTCTTCATTAACTTTAAACTAATTTCTGGCATAGCGGTTAGGCACAGCAAGCAAAAAAAACATTCTTTTGTTTCTCTGCAAGTCCCATTGGGATGGAAGGATAGGACCAGAGCTGTTTTTTCAAAGCAAAAACAGACAATATTACCAGTGATGCCTATTTTAACTGATGGTCTACATTTATGACACATTAATGTATTGTTTACAGGTTTCCCTTACATAACTGTTCTAACCAACAACAGTGCATTGATTCATATCAAGTTCAATTGATGTTAATTCAATAAACATCAATTGAATCGTTCGTAGTGATCGAACTACTAAGAAACTACATATCGTATTCAACGCGTCTTCACATGGACCTGGTGAAATCTCGTTAAATGACTGCTTGCATATTTGTCCAAATTTGTATCCTGACATTCTTGAACTTCTGTTGGCCTTCAGGCTTCATCCTGTAGCATTTACAAGTAACATAAAGCAGGCGTTTCTTCAAATAGAAGTAGATGAGAAGGACAGAGATGTAACGCGTTTTCTGTTTACTAAAAACCCATTCGATGATCCACAAAATTTTATAAACTTATCGGTTCACACGTGTGTTATTTGGCGTAAATAGCAGTCCATTTTTACTGGCTTGCAACCATTAAACACCATTTGAAACAATATGAGAAAAAACCTACCCTGCCACTTGCGAATTTCTAAATGATCACATTTATGTAGATGACATCATTGGAGGACACCAAAACGTTGAACTTGCTTTCAATACCAGTTTAGAATGCATTCAAATTTTTAGAGATGCTAGTATGATTCTACATAAATGGCACACCAATTCTCAAGAACTGCGGCGAATTATGGATCAAAGAAGGTATTGAATCCGAGGAATCTAGTCATGTTTCGGAAGCTAGAAATCCTCCATTGAAAGTGTTAGGAGTCGCTTGGGACAACCAAGGACAAGTGACATAATTTACTTTGATGTAAAAAATTTGATAACATTTCTATCAAAACAAGTCAATACTAAACGTTTTGTCCTACAAGCAATAGGACGAATTTTTGATCCTGTAGGTCTTATTATCACCGTTTGTACTTAGAAGTCAAAATCATATTGCAGCAAATTTGGACACTTGCTTTAGATTGGGATGATGAACTACCAGAAAATTTATGTTCTGTTTGGAAAACATGGTGCAAAGAAGCTTCCAGTTTAGACGAAATCAGTATTCCACAATATTATTTTTCTGCAATCGGTAATAGTGATGTGGAAAGGATTGAACTGCACTGTTTTTCTGACGCTAGCAAAAAGGCGTATGGTACAGTAGCGTATCTGCGTACAATTTCTAGCAATGAACAAATATTTATGGTTTTTGTTGCTTCAAAGACTAGAGTAGCACCTTTAAAACCGCTCACTTTACCTAGGTTGGAACTAATGGGAGCTCTTTTATCAGCCAAACTGGGCACTAGCATCACTAAAATTTTGAAGTTACAACTTTCTTTTTTTTTTTTTTTTTTTTTTTTTTTTTTGGACTGATTCAAAAATCACACTTTTCTGGATAAAAGACTGTGCAAGAAATTTTAAGCTTTTCGTTAAAAATCGTATTCAGGAAATACAAAATTTGACATCCCCAGAAAATTGGCATTATTGCCCCGGTAAATGTAATCCCGCTGATTTGGCTTCGAGAGGAGCTAAACTTCATGATTTGAAAAACAATCCTATCTGGTTTCAAGGACCAGAATGGCTTAGAATGTCGTCTGAGTGTGGGCCCTGACAGAATGAAGAGAAACCTGTCACTGAAGAAGAATTAGAATACCGCAAGAATATTAATGATATTTATGAATTTGTGTGCATGGCAGTTGAAGAAAGGGTAATAGACATCTCAAAAATATAGTAATTTAAGAAAATTGTTGAGAATAACTGGTTGGATGAAGCGATTCATTGGTAAAATTAGGAAAACTAACCATTTGACAGGTCCATTAACGACTGAAGAAATAGTAGATGCCGAAAATTATTGGATTCGATTCTGAACAAGAACGTTTTTTATCCCAAAGAAATTGAGTCTCTGAAGAGAGCGAATAAAGTCGAAAAGAAATCATCTTTATATCTTTTTAACCCATTTTTTTAGACCAGAACGGGATACTGAGAGGCGGGTGGAAGATTAGAATATTCTAGGTTGTCACATGATGAAAAACATCCGGCAATTCTTCAAGAGACCCTGGCTAAACAATTTGATAGTAGAAAGTGCACATGTTAAAATGATGCATGGAGGAGTAGCAACAACGACCTTAGCTGAAATTCGAAGTCGCTTTTGGATCCCAAAAGGACGTCAATTTATCAAGAAATAATAAACAAGTGTCTTATTTTGTAAAAGATATTCATTGAAGTCTGCTGACCAGACCACTTCTCAACTTCCAGAAGATAGAATCAATGAGACACCACCATTCTACGTGTCTAGTATCAATTTTGCTGGACCGATTTACGTAAAAAACATCGAAGGAAGTCAAAAAGCCTATGTAACATTATTTACATGCGCTATCACTAGAGCCATACATCTGGAACTTGTAACAAATCTCTCTACGGATTCTTTCTTGATGGCTGAAAAAAAAACTGCTGATAAACTGATTCCTTATCCTTCAAACCAATTTTATGTAAGCTTTTTTTCTTGGCATGTCATATTTTCACATCCCCATTTCAGTGCTTGCTTCATTTTAAGCTTTCTTGTGCATGTTCTTTAAGAGTGAATATTTCCTTGTTCCAGAAGAAATTGTGTGGAAGATGTTCCACCATTAGTAAGTCCCAAAGTTTTGTAGCCGCAGTAAATACAATAATAATAAAAACACAAGTGAGTTACCTTTATAATCTGTATTCTTGTTGCCAATTTTAAATGGCATTTTTAAAATTTTAACATTGTACTGACTTTAAGGTAAAACATTGGTGACTTCATATGAATCAATCTATTTGCACGTTTAGGAAGATATTTGGTGATGACTCTGGTCTCGATAACAGAACAAAACCTCTATCCTGCAAAACAACTTCTAACAAACCCAAGAAAATCAACAATGGAAAACCTAATGATGAATGAAGTACATCTAAATTCCACTACATAAAAGTTTGGAAAATTTTTATTGCAATGACTGTAGACCTTAAATGAGCTCAACAAAATCTTTTGATTTCTATACCACACCGAGAAATCATTTTAAAAACAGTGTTTTTGCTGATCACCTTGTAATCACTTATAAGGTAATATTTTATATATGTGGAAAAGTAAACAAGCAACATATTTAGTTTTAGGGATTTGAAAATTCCTAAACAGCATTACCATACAAACTATATTTTGTTAAGATAAAACATATTTTGTAAAATTCATTGTACATTTATAGTAAAAAAGTGTGTGGTTCTTTCTTTTTTTCGTAGTTGACTATTACTGATGTCGTAAATCTCTTTTTTCAATATATTAAATGAGTTGATACCACTACTGGAGAAGGATAATGACGGCTCCATTCTCCCATTAAATGGAGGTCCATCATAGCAGCATATTGATAAAAAAGAATACAGTAGAAATTCAAAGAAAATCTTCATATATGGTTCTCAGATTGTGGCCTCCTTGAAGTCCTAACTCCTTGATTGTTTTATAGGGATATGTGACAAGCAGGCTTTTTTTCACTCTCTAAATTTAAATCAACTGGAGTGATGTATCACAGCTTCTATTTCTGCATTTGACTCAAATGGATAAGATAGTCAGATTTGTCAAAAACTGGATCACCACATAGATAATATGATTAGCAAAGCATTCAGATGAAGGTTTTACAGTCAGGACCAGCATAAGCCATGTTGCTAGGCAGGCAGCCAGCCAGCAATGAAACTATATCATAAAACTGGAATAAGGATTTTGTTTAAATATTCTTATTGTTCAACTTTATGCAACTTGTACTCACGAAAGCACACATGAACTAACATCCAGTCGATGATTTCAAGTCTACTACCAAGCACAACTTTACCTTCCTTGATTGGCTGTTCAAAAAGTATGAATGAAGCTAAGGTACTACTATCCCCAACGAGTACACGTATAGAATATTTTAAAATTGCTTCAATAGATTAACACAATTTGTGCAATTTAATAGAAGTAATACATAATATCTTACACGTATTTATATAAATTATTGAAATGGTACATTTCTTTTGAAATAACCCAGTACTTTACATTCATTTAATTCATTCCATTAGTTTTCAATTCTATATGTTTAGCGCATGTAGATACGATTCCACAATCGTAACTACTTTTATTATAAAATTTTGTAACTAAAACAAATAATAAGATGATCAAAGAACATGCTTATTTTAAATAATGGATATAAATGTGATATGGGGTGCCTACAATCACTGTTTTATATAACAAAGTTTGCATATAAAAACGTTATGATTTTCTGCTCTATTATAATTCTAAAAATTATCACATTAAGGCTTATCAAAACTGTAACAAAGTGATTTGGAAGAATAATAGAATTTATTTCTACCGTTATATAATTACCATATTCAATTAAAAGATCATTTTAAAACCAATTATTGAAAGAATTGTGCCTTAATGGAAGCAAATGTTAAAGAATATAGAAAAATATTTCATAATATTTTTATTATATAAAATAAATGTAGTAATAATATGTACAATATAACAGTTTTTCTTCTTCTTACATTCTAAAGACCCCAAATGTAGTGTCTTCAATGTGTGCATTCAGAGCTGCACTTAAACTGAGTCCAAGGACTTTTCTTGTGTCTACTGGGTCAATAATTCCATCGTCCCATAACCTTAAATAAGAAAATTACATTTACTTTGATATAAAAAAATCATTTAGGTAGCTACAATGGAGAAAATATTTAAGATTTACTTTCAAGCATTTTCAGAATAAGCAGGTAACATATCAATAACAAAACAAATAAATAATTAAATTTAAGTATTTCCTTTTAAAATGGCAAACTAATTTAAAAAGTAGATTTGGTGTATAACTCATTCTTATAGTGATAATTATTTGTTTTCTTAAACTATTAAATTTACATAATAATGTTAAATATTCATACAGACAAGATATCAAATGTTTTTAAAGAATTAAAAAGTATGACAGTACTTGCATAAGTAATAATTTATTACTTGATATTCTTCTCTCTGACATTTATCAATTAATATTTCAGAACAATATATTAAATAGACAAATAAATTACATATGACAAGTTGCCAAATAAAAAATTTCTAAATTTTATAATTGCATGGAGAATTTTTCAATAGCCTCTTTCAAATCAGATGGAAGTAAAACTTTTTTCCTTCACATAAATTCTTTTCATCCACAAAATTGCTTGAAAAATTTATACATGAAATTTAAACCCTTAAATAAAAATTCTTGATTATATGTCTGTTCTTAAGACTGTCTTACATACAGACTTTTAAAACATTTTTGCTGCAGCAAAAATCATTACTACTCCGTTTTCAGGGGGCTTTAAAAAATCACCAAACTATTACTGACGCCAGTGTGATTCTCAGTTGTGGTGAACCTAAGACAATGACGAGTTCGATTTCACAGAATTGACTTGAATTTCTTTTTCACTTCAATTTTTCACAAGAAATAAATATTTATTTAAAGCTTCCCCCCTCCACTTGCCATGAATTTCACAATTAGGAAACTGCCATGCATGGAAAGTCTGGCACTGATTTATTTCAAAAAAAGAGGCATCATCAAAAATAAACAGTTAAGCTTAACCCCTTAACTGGTTTGCCCGTACAGTGTACGGGCTACTGATCATTGGGCACATCTGGTTTGCCTGTATGGTGTATGTGCATCGATATTTCCCCCTTTCTTATTTTGATTTGCCCGTATTTTTAATATATTGAAAGAGAGGCTTTAGTATTAGAAGATTTCAATAGATGGCATAGCTTGTCCATACTATTTAAAATCATTCTAACCAGTTTTTTTCTTTTGTTACCAGAAGTCGAAAATATTTTGCATTCTTGGTTCTTGAAAGTTTTGCTACACGGTTTTTTGGTTGTGAATTCAAAACTCTTTAGTTATGGATGATATAATAGATAATGATACTCTATTGTTAGATGCTTCTGATGATTTGGATACAAATTCAGAACTGTCTTGTAAATTTTTGGATAATTCTTCAGATGACACGTGTAGTGAGATCAGCTCTGATGAAAACTTGACTTCTGCTAGAAATTTTATTGAAAATTGATGTAAAAAACCCGCCTCTTCCGTGTCCCAGGTTCAATTTTACTGGTGTTCCAGCAGTAAATATACAAATTGATGGTACTTCTGATGAACTACAATTTTATGAAGCATTTATTGATTCTTCTTTGATGAATAAAACTGTGGAAGAAACAAACAGATATGTGACACAGTGCATCCAGTCAAGCACTGCAAAAAAATTCTCAAGAAGTAAATTTTGGGAACAAACAACTCAGGAAGAGATGCATATATTTTTTGCTCTGGCTATACTGCCAAGGAATTATAAAGGAAGCCCGCAGATTGATCAGTACTGGAGTAAGAGACATTCCACATACACGCCATTTTTTCCCCAAATAATGACTCATCGTCGATTTCATCTTTTGCAACGGATACTTACATTTTTCGGATAATTCAGCATTTGATGCACAAAGTCACGAATGCCCAAAATTAGTGAAATTGTGGCCAGTTTTGAAACATTTAAATGAGAAGTTTCGCTCAACTGTGACACCACAACGTGATGTAACTATGGATGAAAGCCTTATGCTTTTCAAAGGAAGATTAGGGTGGAAGCAGTATATTCCCTTAAAAAGAGCAAGATTTGGAATAAAATGCTTTATGCTGTGCGAATCGATTTCTGGTTATGTATGCTCTGTAATAATATACGCAGGCAAAAACACAATTCTGAAACCAGAGTTTTCAAATCTATGTATTTCATCACAAGTTGTTATGACAATGATGCATCCATTACTGCATAAAGGATATTGTCTTACGACGGATAACTATTATTCGTCGCCAGAATTAGCTGATAAATTAATTTCGTGTCGAACGGATACATATGGCACCCTGAATCTAAAGAGAAAAGAAGTCCCAAAGGAAATGCAAAAGAAAAAACTAAAAAAAGGAGAAATCATTGCATTTCAGAGAGGAAAAGTTACTGTTATGAAGTGGATGGACAAAAAGAATATTTCATTTCTGTCTACTATTCATAATACTGCAAAGGTAGAAATACAGGTCCGCTCCTGAAACGAAACAGAAACCAAAAATTGTTATGGATTACAATAACACAATGGGAGGAGTAGACCGCATGGAACCAAAATTTGAAAAATTTTGAAGTCATTAGAAAGAAGAGGAAAAAAATATTATAGAAAAATTTTTTTCCACATTTTTTATATTGCCGTATGGAACTCGTATGTCGTATATTGTAAAAAAGGTGGAAAGAAAACTCAGTTACAGTTCAGACTTGATCTTGTTGACAGAATTATCGAGAAATACCATTCTGGGATGACTTCCAAATATGGACGACCTGGTTCTAAGCCTAATCCTTTGAGACTGACCGAGAGACACTTCGTAGAAGTTATTGCTCCAACAGAGAAAAAACTTAGACCTGCCAGACAATGCGTTGTATGCTGTTCCAGGAGGAATGAAAGTGGAAAGAGAATCCGAAAGGAAACACGGTATTTCTGTCCTGATTGTGATGTAGGACTTTGTCTGACACCGTGTTTAAATTGTATCACACAAAAAAGGCCTACTCAACAATGGTATTGGAAGTATGAATTTTTAAGGTATGATAAGTTTTCTTTTAGATTCACAGTTCGTGAGATCTGTATAATAGGCTTCACTGCATATACTCCGTGATTACAAAAAGCCAACATGTAGGGGCATTTGTGTTACAAAGTTATAAAATAAAAAAATGCTTAAATTCATTATTTATCAAAATTTTTTAAAAAATTCTTTCATTTTCCTTTTATACTAAGTTAGGCCTTTAATTATATGCAATAAAAAATATGCTTTTTTTTTTTTTTTTTTTTTTTTTTTGAAACATTTCTGGGAAACAATTGACCAGTTAAGGGGTTAAAGATCATGAAATGAAATTGAGTTTTGAACAAAACACCTTAAATTGGTATTGCAGAAAAGAATCTTGCAATGAGTGAAAAGGATTGCAAAGGCAAAATTGGTGTGAAGGTTTAAAAATCCCTTTCCTCACAATTGTGAGGTTCATACATGTATTTCTGGTATTAGGAGATGACATCAACTGAATTTTGCAAATTACAACTTAAAATGAGCCACAATACAACCGTTGATTTGAACAGTTATATGCAGAAAATTTGCACAGCAGCTTTAAGAGCCTGGCCAACAGTTAAATCAGCAGAAGCGATGAAACAGACAAAAGCCTTTTCACTAGGAGAAAGAACAACATTGGGTGGGTTCTTCTACAACAATGGGTTTTTGGTGGATTGTGTAGAGAATCCAATGGATGCATTTTAGTTTCAGTTCCTTATTGATTGGCAAAAACTTTATTGGCTCTCCTTAAGGAAAATGTTATGGAAGGAACAACAATTTAAATGGATTGTTAGAAGGCGTGTACATTGGATGAACTGCGAGATGCCGGCTTCAAACATTTCACTGTGAACCACAAATTTCATTTTGTTGATCCAGAAACTAGATGTCACACCCAGATGATAGAGCATCTGTAGATAGGGTTGTCATGCAACCTGGAAAACCAGAAAAAGTCAGGGAATTCAAAAATTGGCCAAAAAAAATCAGGGAATTCCATACAGCGATCGCCAAAAGAGCGATTTTTACACCAACTTTGGAAGAGATCAATTTCTTGGTGAAATATGTATCACATGAGCGTCATTTGGGAAGCTGACATAGAGCTAAGTTTTACAGTTTTAGAAAGCCAAAGTAAGTTTTTCAGCAAATTTGGTTTCCAATAACCTCTAGAATCTACAGATTTACGTGCAGTACATGTTGAATGAAAGAAAATACCTTTCCATTCTCGTATAAAACAAAACTGGTTTGATCTTAGTTTACGGTACACACGGGATTTTGCGACATTATCATGAGCAGTAAACCAGATATTTATGATGAGCAGTAAATGGGTCAATTTGGTGCTCGTGACAATTTTCAAAAATTGTGCCAAGGTCATACCGTATACTAGGATTTTACAATAAAATCTTTTAAACCCCCCTTTTTTTTCTTTTTAATAACAGGGTTGCCACTCAAACAGGAGAATGAAATTCCCTGACTTTTCCAGGTGTGTTTCAAGAAAATTCCAGTCTATCCGCGTAATGTACGTTGGCTGTACTAAGAGGTAAATTAATTATGGTATTACTTGTATTGTGTAGCAAATTCACTTAATTATTTAATAAATCCCAGAGGACATTTATTCTTAATTATTCTTGGTATACTTTGTTTGATAATTTTGTTTAGTTTTCCACTTAAGAAACTTAATAAAATTTAAGATATATATATTGGATAACAAATGTATGTTTTATTTAATTATTACTCATGATCATCACCAGTTCAACACAAGGCTAATCCGGTCCTTATAAATCACAATGCAATGCTAAATAGTTAGGTTAGATTTTAGGTAAATTTAATTTGCGTGAGGTATGTTCTTAAAAGGCACCTTAACTTGAAAACACAAATATAATTATAATAGTTGTTGTTTTCTCCACTGAAGATTGAAATTAGAATCTTCCCAATCTGGAATAAAATAAGGCTTTTTTGCAGACATTCTGCAGCTAAACGAAAGAAAGAAATCTATTTTAATAAATTGAGGTATTTTATATTTATTTCGCAGCATACATAAGGAAAAAATATGTGCATTAAATTTGGTATGTCATCATACTCCTATAATTAATTTCAGGATTATGCCAGAGAAAATTTCCTGAAATTTGGAAATATTATTTACTAATAATAAATAAATTAGAGGGAAGAAGCAACATTAAATTATATGAATAACATAAAAAAAATAATTACTTAAAAATTGAATTAGAATAATCAACGATATTTTAGCGAATATAGTATAATTACATGGCTAGCCTAGATGACTGATTACTATTTTTTTATTTTACTGAAAAATAGCAAGGTATTTATTAAAAAGAAAAAAAAAGGTTTAAAAAGATTTTGTGGTAAAATTCTAGTATACGGTAAGGCTTTGGCACGATTTTGAAAATTGTCGCCAAGACCAAAATGACCCGTTTACTGCGCATCAAGATGTCGCCAAATCCCATTATTATTCTAACCAAAGAAAGTCTATGTAAAGAAGAAAAGGTTCCATACAAGTAAAATGCTATTACGCCGCTAGAATGCGGAGGGAAAATTTGCCAAGGGATTTGGCGACGGAACCTGGCGGCCAGAATTTCCCTCTCCGCGATGTGTACAGGAAATTGAGAAACACGTGTTAAGAAGAAACGCTTTTTGACAAAAAGAAAACTACGAAAAATCCGTTTTTAAATATTGCGAAAATCCAAGAGAAACGTTTTATCAAAGGACGTTTCTTCTTGGATTTTTTCGCAATAATTTTAAAAACGGATTTTTTTTTTTTTTTTTTTTTTTTTTCCCTGAAAATAACTAATCCATGAATTAATTTACTTGCGCCAAAAAATATTTTCTTTTCCTTTAGAGTTTAACCACTTGTGCTAAGACTAAACTTCACGGTTGCGGTGCAGTGCGCTACAATATAACAAGCGGTAAAGTGTCTCATTTACGCCGCTCCGCATCTGCGAGTGCAATCCAGAGCTGTAATTCGAGAAATAAACAATCTCGTTGTTAGGCGACATGTGCACCACGTTATTTTCATTTTTGCGATAAATGCTTATCGACGTGTTCACGTCGCTCGCGGTTTGAGACAAAAGCATCTTGACGTGCGTCGCACGTCTTTTTAGCGCAAGTGGTTAAAGAAATTTTAAACGATATTCATTTTATGAACTCTTGATAACGTGACCTTCGAACTTCGACACCGGTTTCGAGCTTTGGCAACAGATATATCAGACATGCACAGCTGTTTTCCCTCTATGATGGAACGGAGCCACAGCCACGTCTGTTGCAGAGAGGTTTTCCTTCTTTACAATACATATTCTTTGATTCTAACCTCCATGGTACCGTATACTAGGATTAAACCCATTTTGTTTTATACGAGAACCGGTACTTTCTTTAGCTCATGCACTGCACATGCGATTCTCGAGAATATTGGAAACCAAAAGTTGCTTTGCCTTTCTAAAAGACAATCAAATTGGAGCTGCGAAAATTGGCTCTATGCCAGCTACCCGAATGACACTCACGTGATACATAATTCGCCAAAAAAGTTACCTCTTCCGACGTCGGCGCAAAAATCGCTTTTTTTGGCTGGATCGTTGTATGAACTTCCCTGACTTTTCCAGATTTTGACAAAAATACTTATATTGCCTGACTTTTCCCTGAATATTTTGGTCAATTTTCGAATTCCCTGACTTTTCCCGGTTCTCCAGGTTTTCCAGGTAGCGTGGCAACCCTGTAATAAACACCTTATTCATCATTTTCAGTAAAATAAAAAAAATAGTAATCAGTCATGTAAGCTGACTATTTAATATAACTATATTAACCAAAATATCATGGATTATTGTAATTCAGTTTTTTAGTCTTTAAGTAATTAACTTTATTTTAATGTTATTCGTATCAATAAAAGTGGCTTCTTCCATCTAAATTTATTTATTATTAGTTAATAATAATTTTAATACACAATTTTCTCTGGCATACTAATGAATCTAATTCTAGCACTATAACCATCACGAAATTTTATGCACATATTTTTTGCTTATGCATCCTGCTAAAAAATACATGAATTTATTTTAAAATATCATTAAATAGATTTTTTTCTATCGTTTCTTTTCGCAAAAGGTCTGCAAAAAATAGACATTTTTTTAAAATCCAGATTGGGCAGATTCTAATCTCAATCATCAGTGGAGAAAGCAATTCCTATTATAGTTATAATAGTAATGCTTTGGAAAATATATATATATAAATATACAAGTTATATGTAATTGGAACATTTTTTGGTTTACAAGTGGTACAATTAATTTGTCTCTCAGCACAGCCAAGCACGCACTACGTGTATAGGTTAGCATTTTCTTAAAACACACCTGGAAAAGTCAGAGAATTTCATTCTCCTGTTTGAGTGGCAACCCTGTGTAGAAAAGCGTAAAATGGTGTAACAAGCAGCATCGAGACACGGCTCAAAAACACTCAAATTGTACTTGTCTGAGTTTATATGGTGATGAATCATAAATTTGATGTTGGAAGGTATTAAAAATTTTATGCCTCCTCAGTAAATTAATAATTCAAGATTAAGATCTAGATTTCAGATATTTGCCTTATTTTGCGTTTAGCGAAAAAAATTTAACCATTGCAAACAGCCCTTAGAAACAAAGTAGTACCCAAACATCTAAGTAATGATAATTACACCTTAAATATATGAATCTTAAAAACTTGCATAAGCTAGTTTTTCAGCAGGAATAACTTATTTGGTAATGTTTTTCATCAATTATATAAGATCGAAAGTTCCAAACGATCATTTGGAATATGAAATATATTTATTTAAACTGTTACAAAAGAACTAATTGTGCATTTTTTTAATTATAAGCTGTTTGTCACTCATACTGAAAGCATTGTTTTAAAAAAAATCTGATGTGGATGCCACGACATTAAATTATACACATTTTTACTGCACTTTATTTAAACTTATTTCCTTGAATTTTATTAGAGATATATTTGCAACAAAAAAGGATGGTGCACAACTACATGTTATAGCAGTCCCATATACAAAATTTCAATGTTCTACGGCTACTCGTACTGAGTTATCTAAGCTACATACGTACATACAGATATCAAGGAAAAAACCTCTTCCTAGTCCATTTTAAAATCCTTTTTGGCAAAAATTTATTCTGTCTGTACATACAAATGTCACACAAAAACATCTTCAAATGGTTTTGAAAGTGGTTGAAATGGATATTTTCATTGAAATATAATCCCCTAAATTTTTTGTGATTACAATACTTCCTTTACTTCGTACAAGGAAGTAAAAAGGTTGAATAAATATAAGTAAAACTTAATTGGGAGTGTAATAGTTTAGTATTCATCATTAACATGAGTTTTAAATTTGATAATATGTTATTACATCACTAAAATAATCTATCTCTATCTTCATTATAATAGCCTCAAAATACTGCTTACCTAGCAGATGAGTAATAAGGATGCCCTTCTTCTTCAAATCTTTCAATGATAGGGTTTTTCAAAGCACGTTCTTCTTCATCAGTCCACTGTAATACATGAAGATTTTATACACAAATTGCAAACTTTTCTGATATATAGTAGTAATCATAGGAAAATGAATGTCTCAAATTTTCATTTTCATATTCCTGAATAACACTTTTAGAAACTGTTAGAATTTTAAAACAGTGGCATAGAGTATTTAATGATGAATAAAATATTTATTCTACTTTTTCTTCCCCAAAAGCATCAAACTGTTTTATATCAGTTTAGACTAGAAACAAAAAACAAAAAAATAAATAAACAAAATAAATCAGATTTTATATTAAGCCCAAAGGGGTATTTTTTCAACGTTTTGTGTGTTACCTTTATTTATTATATATCATATGCTTCGCACTTAATTACAAAATTCAATTCAACAGCAATATCACAATATAATTTTAAAGAACTTTAGAATTTCTGATACACAGTCTCACATGCTGGAGATTTTTTTTCCCCCTATACAGTGTTGCCAATCCCCCCCCTCCATACAGTGTTGCCATTGCTCACTTTGAAATCATTGAGTTTGTTAATCAAAATAATCAAAAATTTGTTAAAGTATTACAAAATATGAAATCGATAATAAAACAAATTCCAAACTAGGGCTTCCAGATACCCATATTCGGTGGAGGATTATGTTATTCAAAATTGGAGGGCTTTGGGTACTGTTGTTTTATCACAATATGCAAGACATACATATATTTATGCAGATTCTTCATTCTTTAAATTCTTTCAATATAAAACAGGGTGATAATATATGGTAGCAATAATTTGAAAAGTGAAATGGACATTTGAAGTTTTCAACACCAAATGCCAAAACAAAATTAATAGCCCTTCTGGGTTAATGCCCTTTGGGCTAAAAAATAAAATAATTATTCTTAGAAAATATTGAAAAACATTTTTAATTTTCAACTTTCTATTCCAAATAGACACATGAATTCATTTTTAAATCAGCTGATATAAGGAATTTTCAGTAATTCATGACTTATCGATGAAAAAAATTTTTGAGAATTTGTAACTTAAAACGCCCATCCAGCCAACAGTTCGCCTGGAATTGAACCCAGGTTAGAACTACCAGTGTTCAGTGATTTTACTGGTGGACTATCTGCTATTCTCCAAGCATGACCTTGTGGTCCTCCTACATTTACAAAAAATTGTAATTAATTGCATATATAGCACTGCAGGTGAAAATCTCGTAATTTAGAAATTACGTATGGGAGTTATCTATCATTTTTTCTCCCACGACTAACAGTTTATGAATTTTTTGCCAGTTACCCTGCTTATAGACTTCTCATAATACTTAGCAACAAAAAGAGAATTTCAATCCAAACATAGAGCTGCTATACACAAATCCACACATTCATCCGTCTCATTAATGAAAGTACTGACATTTATTTAATGTTTAGTTAATAAAATAGATTACCCAACCTTGAATTATTAAAAATGAATATAAATTTTCTTATATTAGCTTAATTATTTAATTCCAAAATACAATTAAATTAATATTAATTGATTGTATTTTAAGCACACTATCAGTAACATATGCTAAAATAATCTCTTTTCAATGGGGCAAGAGTAAAGCAGTCCCCACTTGAAAAAAGTCTGAAAACTCCTGCTTTAAATAGTTGCGAACATGAGCATACTCATATATACACAAATATTAAATGATTGGCCTTTTTGTTTAAAAGTACACAAGCTTACATATGGCCACTAGTAGTCTTAACTGTTCATAAATAATTACAAACTAGACCTAAATATCTACTATTTATGTTATTACAAAATGTTCTGTTTTGCACTTCTTTAGGCATAGTTTTTACATTATGTACTGATTTTATTAGAAAAGTATTATTTCTTAGCTATATGATGAAAAAATTTTGTTAACCAAAAGACATGGTGATATATTTATCATTATCACTGTTATTGTTGAGGGCATTTATTTTCATTAATTTCATTGCAATTAAATTTTTCATTCATTTCATTTCAGTTTAGTTAAATTTATTTTCACTGTTTTCAAGTTATTAAATTTTCATCACTTCCATGCTGTTTACAATGCTGAAGAATTTGAAACATGAAAGTTTGTCTTTTTATTAATTACTCTTTTATAATAATGTTCAGCTTACTTTTCTCTTTCAACAATTCAAGTAACATTTTAATAATTCTCTAATATTTTTTACTGATGATAATGGTAATTGTTATCAAAAGCATGAAACTGTGATTTTCTTTTAAATATGTAATTTTTAAATATAATACAATTGGTAATACAATCAACAGTACCTGCACATTGCTGACACCTGTACAAGAGTTTATGAAATAATTTCCTGGCAATGCAGAACAAAGACATGCAACATCATCACAGATCCATTACCATTCTGTATAGTCAACAGAATTTGTTTTACGTTCATAGCTTTATGTGATTAATGCCAAATTCTATGCACCAACTGACACAAAATGATTGGATTGTTAACTATCAGATCAAGCACTGAGACTGCATTTTGCAAACACCCAGTGACAAATATTGCATGAATGGCTTTTAGGCATACAGTTCTTGACTGATGATGGTATTTCCTGCACTAACATATACTCACATTACACTTTTATCATAAATTATGCATGAAGTTTTCAATATATTAGCTACACTTGAATGTGAATTATCTGTGTTTGGCCATACAGAAATGCATTAAATCACAGCATTTATTTTGAGGTGCATTGTACTCAAAATAAATGCTGTGATAACTGATGCAGTGCATCTATAAAAGTTCGGGAACAATGAATTGTTCTCTTCTGATTTTGTAGGGAAGTTTCATAATCATATCTCATGTATGCAGTGTGCCAATTTACTTTCCACTTTATTGCTCATACATAGCTGCCTACCTCAAAATCTTAAAAACTGGAAGATTTTTTGGCAAGAGAACCAAGACGTTTTTCACACTGTGTGGTTACACCATTTTGAAGGAATTTCAAACTGACTTCAATTTACGTTATAATGCGTGGTTTAAGTAATTGAAAATTCATAATTAAATTCTGATGTAAAATGTAGATATTCTAAATCTTATGTATTTTATCTAATTTCATTTTTAAATTTTTATACATTTTTATACTGAAAAAATCCATAGCAGTGAAATTATTTTTTAAAGCTTTTATTTATCAAAATAATTTCAAATAGTTTAAAAGTAATGTACATAATATTTGTGTGGACTTAAATATTATGTATTAAACTTAGTAATGTACCATATATTGAAGTAAACAAAGTTAAATAGAAATATTTGACTGATTAAACATTGCTTGAATCCTCATATAAAAATCTATATTAAAATACTGATAAAATATTTTAGTATAGATTTTAAAACTTTTGAAATGATTATTTATATATTTTCAATTAAAAAGAACCTACAGATTTTCCTTCTCTTTGACGCTGGTCTCGAGTAATCTGAGCTAGGACATTTGCTGCTTGTTCTCCTCCCATTACAGAAATTCTTGCATTTGGCCACATGTAAAGGAATCTTGGGCTAAAATAAAAAAGAGAAACAAATATTTACAGAAAAAAATCCTTATAAATTATTTTCATTAAATAAATTTATGTATTGTTTTAATATACTTATGTTAAAATGATCTGAAGCATGCATTTAAAATTATGACCATTATTCCATAACAAAGGGTTAATAATAAATGCAAAATATCAGATAATTTATATATATATTTTTTCTTACAAATTATTTTGAAAAAAGTATATTATTCCACAACATTATGTATTCATGATGACTGCAAATTTGCTGACTTACATGTCAATATGTGCAAATTAAAAAGAAAAATATAAAAATGAAATCTTTTTTTATTATTATTTATCAACCTATCTAAACAAAAAATTTGTTTTGATGACCACCATTTTTATAAAATAAAAATATTGTTTTGACTTAAGCTGCTGGACTATTCAAAAATAATGAATTATTTAACTCATTAGTTTATTATGCTTATGATATCATTAGTTTATTATGCTTATACAAAATCAGATGAGCTAATGCTCATCTAAACTAATTATGCAGTCAAGATAATTATTTTACTTCAATTACCATTTGTACTTTCTTCTATCCATATTCATTAAAATACAACAAAATTAATTAAATTAATTTAATTTCTTTGAAATGTGTGCCAAATATACTGTTACAGGAGAAAAAAGTTTTACTTTGTAATTCATATCAATACTGAGAGTAAACTCTTTGCTTTTCTATCTGTTAATTCTCAACTTTATAAAATTAGATTAAAGAAAACACAAAATTTTAAGTATACTGATATTTTCTAAATTTATTTTTGCCATATATTTTGTATTCCATCAATACATGGACTAAAATTATCTAATGATCATTACATAAATACAACATGCAATAAAAATGGCATGGATATGTATTGTTCCTCCAACAAATATGAAACCTGTACTTACGAATAAGCTCTACCACACATGCCATAATTTCCAGCACCATATGAACCACCAATTATCAAAGTCAATTTAGGAACTTTAGCACAAGCTACAGCTGTAACCATTTTGGCACCATGTTTTGCAATTCCTCCAGCTTCTGCTTCCCTTCCAACCATGAATCCTGAATTAGCATGAAAAAGAAATCATATAATATATGTAATGTTAAGAAAACACTAATTGTTTCTTTTACAAGCAAGGAACAAACCATCTTATGGAAGATTTTTTAATGAGATATTTGAATCACACTAAAATATTATGCAAGATAAACATAAGTTCTAAGATTTATTCAAATTGAAATCTATCACTATTTACTATATATAAAAGTAAAATTAGTCATTCATTCCATTTTTGCATTTAATTTTTAAAACACTTATTTCATCAATTCCATATAATATATGGAACAAATTTATTCATATATTTAATTAAAGCAACATTACGTATATTAGCTGGACAAGAAAAGCATAACCATATAATAAAAAACTGTGCATCACTACACTGGTGTCATATGCAATGTGTTTAATATCTGATAGATGATCTAAAAAGGCAAATAATTTTCTTGCATTGTTAGCACTTTATTTATAACTCTTCTGATAAGTAAGTATTATAAATTTTTAAGAGAGAAATTGGTTCATTAATGAGCAACATACCAGTTATATTCTGAAGAAATATTAAGGGAATCTTTCTTTTGCAACACAGTTCAATAAAATGTGTGCCCTAAAAAAATTTAGTCCTTTCATTAATGAAAAAAAATACATATATATTTATTATTTAACATAAAAATGCATATCTGCTTTTCAGGATATCTTACTTTATAATTTTAAATCCATAAAATCTTATTGCAAAAAAATAACAAAATATATTTTTAAAAAATCAAAATCACAGTAAATGTGGATATGACAAAAAAAAAGAATTTGGGGGTTTCATGCTATTTCTATGCTTGTTTAAGCTACAACACAGCTATTAAGGCGAAGCTCTCATAGATAACAGCACTGAACTTAAAAACTGATAGCAAATACTCTCTTTGGTCTTGTATAATTTTAATCCAGTTGCCAAGAAATCTCTAGCACCTTCCATTTCTCAAAATTACTGGAAGGCATATAAAGTTACATCTAAAGGCCAAATACAGTTACATATAGGGATGAATTATGGAAGCACCGTATGAATAAGTTATACAGGGAAGAGACCAAAATGTTGCCAAGTTCGCCGACTTTTGGCAATTTCTCACCACATTTGGTGACAAAAATCAGATGGCGATATCTCGCCAATTTAGTGCGACAGCCATTTACTTAATGTTAAATGTAGGCTTGCCTCCTGTAATCTTATTTTTCCAGCAGAGCTTCGTCTCTTTCAAGCATTACATGTTACATTACAAAAATATTAGTTTCACATATAATTTCATTAAAATTATTAAACACATACATATATAACTTAATTGCTCATTTATTTTTTGGCACCATTTTTTTAAATAGATATATATATATCTTTTATATATATAAATATATATATATTTTTAATATATATAAGTTGTATATGTGTGTGTGTGTATACATATATATATATATATACACACATATACAACTTAATTGTTCTTTTATTTTTGGGCACCATTTTTTTATTTTCTCCCCTCTATCATTATTTGTTTCCTGACAGAATTCTACATACAGCAGGTGCAACACCCAAGGAAGGTTATAGATCATAAAGTAAGGCTAAACAAGCATATGTTAAGAAGCTACAGAGCATTTTTATCAGATAAGGGACAAAATAAAGAGATGATGAAATGATCTTCTTTCTAGCATTTCCAAATAGACAAAGATTCTTATTCGTTGATTTAACTCTCTTCAGTTTATATAGGTGAAAATGTATTGCATAAAAACACGAGAAAAACTGTAAATGCAAATTATTCTGCATTGAAGATATAAAGTAAGTATTATTGGAAAAATACAGAACAAGAGTAATTAAGCTGCCAAGGAGACAAACCCAAATATACTTGAGGAAAAAACAAAACTTGATCATTTTTGCTCTTAAAAAAATAGATGAATAAACTGAACAGAGAGAAAGATCAAAGATGCTGAAAAGGCACAGCAGAAACGGCAAAAAAGGTTAACTCTAAAAAAAATCTACTGGTATCTGAGTAAATACTCCTCATACTGACTAGTGTTGTTTGTTTGATTATGATAAAGTATGTGAGGTTTATCTGCCTAAGAAATAATCTTGTGGAGGATTTTCTAAGGGAAATTGGCTCATATATGTATTACCAATGAGAAAAATGACACATATGTTCATGAATTTGCAAACCTTTTTGAACTCAAATGACTGATTGGAAAAGTCATTTGAGCAGTAAGGAATAAAATTTTCTCACAAAAGAAGTATCCTAAAATCGGGGAGTTTAAATATTTGATGCTGAAATGTGGAAATTGTTTAGGATGATGTCTTTTATTAATATTGTGGAAAATATCTTTTCAACAATGATTACATTTGGTTGTTTTATATATTAAAATTTAAAGGCATAATGTGCACAAAGAAAAAAGAAAAAAAAAAAAAAAAAAAGGTGTCAAATGTGTGAACAATAGTTCTTACATGCATGAACATAAAATGAAAAATATATCTTAAACTTCTGATAATTGTTATAGTAGACTTTGACTATATTTATTTATTCTGCAACGTTTTGTATCAAAATTTATTTATAAAGAAAATTCTGAAAAAATGTACCTGATGATGAAATCTTTTTCTTCCAGAATTTGTATTACAATCTAGATTTTTTATGAGCCTAATGCAGTATACTCCAATTATATTATGAATACTATCCAAACATGATAATATTAAAACTTTTCATGATGGAAGATCAAGTACTCTATAAAATATATAATGAGATATCAGTTATAGGAAAGATAATTTTATACGAGTTTGTTATTTATAATGTTTAATTATCACAATTTATATTAACTAATGGCATAAATTTTATGGCTTAATTATGAAATAATTTTATGACATATTAGTTTATAATTTGCAAATTATTTAATATTAAGAGGAAATTTATGAAAAATCATAGTTATCATAAAAAAGTGATTCAAATTAGTTATAAAAGCATCAAATAATTATGAAATTCAGCAGAAAAAAAATCCTAAAATTTTTATTAACAGAATTACCTCTTTCTCCTGTATTAATTTCCATAATAAATTAACAGTACATAAAACTGATATATGCTTAAATAGAGTTATGCTTAAATTTCATTACATTAAGATGTGTTACTTTTGAGTAAGTGCACTCATAAAAAATGCTTAAAGTATATGATTCAGTTCATGAATGTTGAAAATATACTGATCCAGAAAACATATGGAATCAAAATATTAACTTGTTTTTTCAGTGGGAAGGTCTAGTTTTAACCACTGAAATTCCATCAGCTAAGTTTATCATCGTATTTTATAAAACAGTTGTAAATACACCTATCCCTCAATAAAACACACACATCACAGAAGATAGGTTCTGCACAAAACCGTGTAAATCAAAATCTTGGGTTTTGCACACTAAATGTGCATAATTTAATTATTTATTTACATAAAACAAAAGTAACACATCTGAAAATAAATTAAGTTATCCTTCGTTCATAAAATAACAAATATATGTAGGTAATAGAAGTACATATTTAATTTATTTTGCATTAGGAAAATAAAGATCGTTCAAAAAAATTATTAAAAGTTTAATCACTTTCATGAACTAGTAGTCTTTTCTTCTTGATTAGTATGATGTCACTTCCATCACTTGAGCATTCTTGATAAGATTCTGCTTCAATGGTTGACAAATTGGGGAAGATCTCAGATCAACAAGACTTTTTAGTGAAATCCATAATTAACAATTGCCTAGGTTTATTTCCTAAATCTTTGTAAACCTCCTCATATTGATTTAAGCATTAAGCTCCCGTTGGAATCAGAGAGCTTGTTCAACATTCATGTCATATTGTAAAAAATGGTTACCGAATTTTCTTTCCAGTTCAAGAATTGGGCACAGCAGAGTCAATGCTGATGACTCTTACTGTGAATGCAACTGGTTCAGATTGCTCTTCATCAATGTTTATTTGTTTCATGAATCATGTTAACTAACTCATCCTCATTTAGTACTTCATCAACCATTATTTCTTCAATATCTGCCTGAGCTAAATCCTCAAAACTTTCTCCTATAGTTTGGGCCAATTTAGTGATCTGAGAATATTCATGCTCTAATGTCATCTATCATTCTCATCTTTAGCAGCATCCGGTCATGTTGCTTTCCAGCATGTGTTGAGTGTTGATTGTTTAATCTGAGCACATGACAGTCCAACATGCTTAACACAATCTAAGATTGTAAATTTCTTCCAAGCATCCATAAGAGTAAGAGATTCATCATTCTTCATTTGTTCTAAAATATACTTGAAGGTTTGTTTGATATACAATGTTGAAATTGTCCTTAAAAGTCAAAATTATTCCTCGATCTAATGGCTGTAATAAGGAAGTTGTATTCTTTGGTAAAAAGACAACTTCTACATTTTTGTGTTGTAAATCTTGAAGACGACCAGGGGTATTATCAATTAATAGAAGAGCCTTAAAAGGCAATCCCTTTTTACTTAAATAATTTTTGACATCTGAAACAAACATGTTATGAAACCATTCATTGAAAGCTATGGCAGTGACCCATGCTTTCTTACTAGCCATCCAATAAACGAGAAGGCTATTTATGTTTATTTCTTTAAATGTTTTTTTTTTAATATAAATGTTTGTAACCATTCTTTCAGGCATTTTTTCCCAGAACAACCCAGGTGCATCAGCACTGATCAGAAGTGTAGGAGCTGGCGGCAATGATTTCAGCAAATCTTGCTGGATATAGTTGTGTTGCATCCGAATCGGCAGATGCACTTTCTCCTTTCAATCTTAGATGTAAAGAAGATCTTTGTTTAAACCAACCATGACTTGAGGAAAAAGATACCTTTTTCCCATCAGACGAAGTCGACGGTGACTGATTCTTAAGTGCTTTATAAATCTTTAAAGCTTTATTTGTGGTAGCTTATTTGTGTAGGTAAAGTATAACTTGGAATCCGTTTTTGATTTTGGTCTTCTCTCCATATCACTAATGCCTTTCCCATATTTTTCATTGTATCATCTCTTACATATGAAATTGTGCTCTTACTGCTGCAAGTTCAGGCTGCTACACTTTTTCTAATAGAGTCTCCATTTTTTCTAATTGTCCTTATTGTGACTTTATTCACGGAGTAAAATTTAAGCAAAATCTATTGCTCTTTTTCTATTACGTAGACGATCTAAATTTAAATTTTTGTTTCTAAAGAAATAACTTTTCTTTTTACTTGATTTTTTTCAAATTCTTTGACATTATAAAACCTTAAAAAATTTGTGTAAATTATAAAAATGCCGCAAAAAATATAAATGTTGAAAACTTACCAGTAAACATTCAAATACGTAGGTAAAAATGATGTAAGCTTGCTGCTAAAATACTGATACTGCACTAGTTCACATGAACCAAATAGCTTTACTGTTATGAAATACTTATGTATACTTTGGGGAATTCCCATCCTTGTTGTTGCCACCATCGAAATTACCAAAGGAATGAGATTTAAAAATGGCTTCAAATACATGTATTTGCGTATATGCAGCCGAATATACCTTTTTACCAAGTTTTTAAAATCTGTTCATTTTTAAACTGTGTAAAACTCAAATTTTGTAAAATGAGTACAGTGTAAATCGAGGGATAGGTGTACTTTATCAAATCTTTAAAATAACTACATTAAAATTGAAAATACATATATTTTTTAATGAAAAATTTAATACAAAACATGACACTTAGCAGAAAAACCATTCCTACTATATTGAACTATTATATTATAAATTTGTTTCCTAATGTTCTATTACTTATTCAGAACTCTGTGTATTAATACTTTCATTATATTATTCTGAGTCATAAGAGCAAAAATTTGAAACTCAATGTTTAGTGTGATATAATTTCTTAATTACCTTTAATGCAGATTCTGAAAATAACACACCATTGTTTCCTATTACACCTACAGGATATCCATAAAGACGACCAAATCCTAAAAAAAAAGAATTTGACATTACTTTCTCAAGCCAAATGTATTCTGAATGAGTAAAATTTATTTTTTTAAACAGAAAATTATGCAAAGAGTACTTTTGTTTCCAAATACAAAATTTCATTTTCTTTTTTCTTTTATTATTTTTTATTCCTTTCCCATTTTATATTACATATTTTCAGTTTTTAAAATATAGTATTAAAAATTATACTGAACATGTAATATTAAGAAAACTTGTGTTTAGTTTGAACTATGAAAACAACAACTTTAATAAATTTGTCTAGGTAACATATTTAACTGATTAAATTTTCAAGATCACAGGTTAATGCAAGCACAAGAGCCATTTCAAATGTGAAATACTGGTACATTAATAACTAGTGTAACCGGCAGAATTTTGAAAGCAAATGTGCATGCATTGTGTCGTACAGGTCTGGATGTCAGTTTGTGGCATGGAGTTCCATGCCTGTTGCCCTTGGTCAGTCAATACAGGAACGGTTAATACTGCTTGTGTCTCCAATGATGTCTCATACATGCTCGATTGGAGAAACATTTGGTGATCTAGCAGGCTAAGTCGACACTCTGTAGAGCACACTGTGTTACAACAGCGGTATATGGGCTAGCATTATCCTTTTGAAAAACATCCCCTTAAATGCTGTTCATGAATGGCAGCAAAACAGCTTAAATCCCCCGATGTTATAATATTATACTTATTTATACCTTCCAATAAAGTATTACATTCCAGCTCATTAACTAGTATATATTCTACTGTCAGTCGATGCATACGCATAAAATTCACTAAAATGTTTTCACTGCAACAGTGCATCATTATGAAACTGATAAGAAAAGAAATCACATTATACAATGTATCCATAGGTCTCTGGATATTTAATACTGTAAATTAAATATTGTTACTATAATTCCCATCACACTGTTTCACAATTTAAGGCCACTGCCTTCACAGTAAAAAGTAATGGACACACTATTCAAATATACTCCATGGTCAGAGATTATAACTCTCCATGGTCCAAAGTGCATCTTAAGTTGCTGGTTGCGAGTTGTGTCTTGAGTTGCTGGTTCACCCAAGCAAAAAGGCCTTGAGCACAAAGGGTTAAAAAGAGCATGAAAATCATTTAAAGTTTAATTTTTATGGCTATTCAATAACTTTTTTAGAAGTTTTGTAATTAATGACTTAATAAAAAAAAATTGTTATCATATACTAAATTCTAACTGACTACTGTTATTTTACACAAATATATTTTTCACAATTTACAGTCATACATCATTGAAAAAAATGACAAATTACACATGCACAGCTGCCAAACCTGTACTATGAAAACTGGGCGATTTTCATGTTGTAAGGCAATGGTGACTTTTAACTCCATTGAACAAACTTGACTTAACAAATTTTGTAATGCATAATTAAGGTTAATAAACTATAACATAACTTTGATGTGGAATAATAATGAATTTTAACATTTAATTCATTATTCTAAATTTTAAATTAATAGCTTTTGGAAGAAGGACTAATTGCATATGATTTTGTAATTTTCTTAAAATTTTATATTCAAGAAAATTAAAATAGGGACAGAAAGCTTATATTTATCAAAGCACTTTTAAATGTTATGAAAATGAAATCAATAACTATTGTGTACATTATAAATTTGGAAAAACTTAGTGAAAATAGACGTATTTATGTATTAAGCATTAAAACAGTTTAGATTAAATAAAAAATTAATCAGCAATTTAAAAAATTAATCAAAAAATCAATAAATAATCTGCATGAAACATAATTCACTCAGAAATGTCATTTAGAAATGATAATGCTGTCCACTAACTTAGTTTTCTTTTAAGAATTTATCAAAACTACCCTTTCCTTCCAAACTTTACCAATTAACTGCCAAATTTTGTTTTAAAGACAGGTTCTTTTTATGTCCGGCCAGCATGACTGGAATTTTGCACTAAAAATAAAACCAATTATTGTTAGCAATCATGCATTTTTTATGGATTCTTATTTGGAGAAATAGCAATTACCATCCAGTTTCTGAATAAAATCCAATAGAACATATTCTAAATAGAATCCAACACTGCACTTGTCACACCTATTTTTTATGCATGTTTTGCACACAGTGGGTTTTCTTCTTTTCATAAGACATGTCGATCCGCAAATGTATTGTCTGTTGTATAACAAACTGTCTGTTGCAATTGTCCAGGAAAAAACAATATGCTAAAACCACTGGAGCAAAATTAAATTCAAGTAAACATTTCGAGTCACAATATATAAATTGTAATAAAATATGATCTCACCAGTATATAAAATCTTCATATGAGGATCACAGTGACAATGGATTACTAATACACAATTCTTTTAGAATCACCTTTGAAAACAAGGTTCTTATCATATAAATTAAGAATCTCAAGATTTAACGGTGACTTAATGAAAATCAGGAATTTCAGAATTGTATCAGAAGGTTGTACACTCTGCATACGCAATAAATCAGAATAATAATGCCACGTATGAATTCTTTTCCTCAATATATTTAAGATTAAAGATTACTTTTGCATTAATAAGCAACATAATCAGCACAAGTCTAAAGAATTGTGTCATTTTTCTCAGCAGTATAAATACAATAAACAAATACCTGTTACTAATGTATCTCCATACAATGCTTTGAATTCGTCAAATTCACTTCCATCCACTATCCTAGCTATTACCTATTGTTTAAATAAATAAGTCATTCATTGTCAGTATTCACTGCATAATGACAGTTTATTCAATTTTCTTAAATATAGCTGAATTACTAGATTTAAAGATATGCCAAGATTCAAAATCATGCAAAATATTCATTAGTATTCATTGTAATTTATCCATGTACTAGGCTAGCTTTAAACTATTTACAAAGAACCTTTCTTAACCTGAGGAGAAAACCACTACTGCTTAAAACTTAACATTATAACTAACTTCATATATTGCTTAAAAAATAACAGTTTGGAAAATTTTTCATATTTAAAAAATATGATTTCCTACCAAGCTGCTTTTTCTATTCTGATCAAAAATATATGTATAAAAATGATGGCATTGCAATTTATTTATTTTTTTAAGTATATATTGGGTCATATAAAAAGTCTCCGTACTTTTTTGCCAATAGATGGTATTGATTGCTTATATATCTGGCAGCACTCACCCTATTGTCTCAAATGAACGTGTGTTTAAAAGGTGACATTCAGCTTCCACTGTTTGTAAAGATAGTTTTCTAATCTGTTGCTTGTATCAAAAGTTATATTAATTTCAAAATGAGTGAAATAGCTGAAGAAATATGGTATGTGATGCTTTTTTTACTATAAAAAAGGTAAGATCATTTCAAAAACATGTCAAAAAATTTGTGAAGTATATGGTGAGAATGCTCTGAGTGAACGAAGGACCCAGCAGTGGTTTGCTTGATTCCACTCCTGAAATTTTGATGTTCAGATTGAAAGGAATTGCCCATTATGAGCTGCTGCAACCTGGTGAAATCATCAATTCGGCCCTGTACAGTGCACAACTCGACAGTTTCAAAGAAGCAATACAGAAAGGGCAACCAGACTTGGCAAACAAAAAGCGAGTTGTGTTCCATCATGACAATGCACGGCTATGCACATTTTTGATGACTTGGAACAAATTGACGGAACTTGGTTGGGAAGTTTTGACGCACCCACGGTATAGCATGGACTTTGCACCATCTGACTACCATTTGTTTCGTTCTCTGCACAACTCTCTTGATGGTAAAAAACTGAAGTGCCACTGAAAATCACTTGGTCAAGTTCTTCAACTATAAATCACAGAACTTCTACACCGATGAAATTATGAAGCTACTCAAAAAATGGCCAAAGGTCATAGATAATAATGGCCAATATGTAGTTGATTAAAATTGATTTTCAATAAAGAAAATTTTTGTTTAAAAATGTACAAAAAAAGCACAGAGATTTTTTATATGACCTAATATTTAATCTTTCATGGAAACCTTTTACCAAACTTGCATGCTCACCCCCTAAATACATACTATTTTTTGTCCACCATTTTAAGGTTTTTCACATTTAGTTGAGCTTCTCATTCAATTTCAAAGCCTAATTGTAGCTAAGCAGTAAGACTGCTGGAAACTGGTAGTTCAATCCTGGTAAAAAAATCCTCACAAACAAGGTGGCTACGCGGGAGCTTTTGAGGCTTTTCCCATTTGTAATGCAAATACAAGCCTGTTTTCCTTAAAAAGTACTACCTGTAAGCATTCCTCATCTTAGACAATTAGCCCTCATGTGCTTTGCCATAATCCAAATAATCTTTAACTTAATCTACTGGCTGTTTCATCATGTGTTATAGAATTTGGTTTGGCCTTTTTCTGCCTTTCTGAAGTATATACAAGAAGCTTTTCCCCTTAATTATGCATTTATGCCTTGCTGTATTTAAACAAATCAGTTTTATGCTAAAGAATTGTAAAGTTGCAACAAAGCATAAATCTCAGTTCATGTAATCCAAATTTTTACACAATAAAAAGTTATTTCAACCACAAATAAAAAGTTATTTCAACCACAACAGTAAATGAAGCTTTCAGCTGAATAAAAGGCACATTTTTTTCATTTTTATGACCTATTAAAAATACCTTTTAGCTCAATAGAAATTTTAGTGAAAGCATTTTATGTTTTGTCACTTACTGTAGAAATAAAATAACTTGATTCGTGGCTCAGTGTGAAAAAAGTGCTATATCTTTACATTTGATAAAATTGTAAACTGCACATTAAAGATCTTATTATTTAGCTATAATCACTTCAGATATCAGATGAATTGAAACATGGATATAATGTTTGTTCAATACCATTGAAAAATCTAAACTTTTAAAACACTGATTAAGAAATTAACTAATTTAAGAAAACCAGTTTCAATAAAAAAAATCAAGTTTAATATATTTATTCATTCAGAAAATGTTATAAAAGATAACATAATTTATAATGGAAATATAATAAATTATACACATTAAAACACCATGCCTTTGCCTTCTTTTTATCAATACACTTTCAAACAAATTTAATTTAACTACTTTAGTAATTCATTTAGTTATTTAGAAACTTAAAAAAAATTAAATGCTGTGTTAATTAAATTGACTTTGTAATATGTAACAGCACACTGTTACACATTTAATTATCATGATTAATATTTAATAGTGAACTTATTTAAGTAATTTAATTCTTCACTTTATGCAGTCAAGCAGTTTTAATTACCTAGGGCTTTGGCTCTAGGTAATTAAATGTAAGTAAGCTAATTAATTTAATGTCAGGAAAAAGGCTCAATTTTGTGGAAAAAAATAGGAATAAATAATGAGAACTCTTTTATATAACAATTATAAAATTACCCAGAACAGTAGGCAATTCTTGGCCATGGCCAGGTTAATCAGTAGACAAACAAGACAAATGTCTAGGGTCCATAATTCAAAAGAACAGAGGAAAATAATAATAATAAACTTTAATTTTTTTATAACACAAATAAATGCTATTTTGATACATATACATGACAGTTCTAAATGTGTGTAAAGTACACGAACTCAAACAAAAATGGGACAGTTGTATATGCCCCATTCCACTCGGTTAATTGATGAAATTCAACTCGCATTTTCAATGTTCAAAAAGCATGACTTAGGATACATATTAGAATTCTTTATATAGTGTTGTTCTAACATGCAAATTAGCACCTGCGTCCATCTTTTGCAGAATTTGCCCTTTTTGCACTACCGTCAATGCAATGTGTTTACGTTTTTCAACGTTGCAAGCAGCAAAATCATGAGAGCGTTTCTTATCTGTAATTGTATTAAAATGTGCTGAAATTAAAAATATTCTTAATTTATCCACAAAATATCTGGATTAAAAAAGGGAGACAGCACCAAATAATCTCGTGAAATAACAAAGTTCAGAAAATACAACAATGTGAATCACGAACTTGAAAGAAGAGTTGAGTGAATCGTCTGCTTTTTTACCTCGATGCAGATTAGGGGGGGGGGGCTTTTATCATGATGTCGATAATTTGGTATTTCCGTTATGACTCATTATTATTCGTTAATTATGACGTCATTTATTTGGTAAATATTTTTTCTTCGATATTTCATACTCAATGTTGTGGTTTCCGGAACCTATAAACTGAATGTTTATATTTTGAGAGGCAACGCGGATTTCAGGAGTTGGCGGATTTTCGGTATTTGACTGTAATCACTTAGCAAACTTCTCAGTTTAAGGTAACCTTTTCACTTTCACTTTTTGATTTTTTTTTGCAAATGTGGAAAAAAGAATTCAGCATTTGTTCTTTCTTGCAAATATTTTTACTCTATACTGTATTTTTTAATCACGGTCACTACTTATAGATATTTTTTTTTTTTCATTTTAGATTTTTATTTAAATAATATTATGTGGTTGAACTATATTTCTTTAACTAAATATTTTTTTTAAATTTCTGTTTATTCATTCGTACTGTGTACTTTAAGCAATTTATATAAATGTTTTTTTTTAAGCACATGAATTGCATTTTGTTCAAAAGAATATTTTGTGATCACATCATAATGCATTTGAAAACTGCATATTCTAAAAGAGAAAATACAGTAAAGCACAGTTAATATGTCTCTCAATGGGCCCTTTAGAAAGTATATATAGATTAGAATAATATATAATTGATGCATTATAATAATATGTATACACGAAATTTTCTATTGCTTTGAACAGTTTCACCATCGTGTTTCATTAATATATTACTATTTCAGAATTAGTTCAAATTTTCCATTTCTGAAATCACGAAAATCAAATGGTATAACATAATTTTAAAGAAAAGGGGGGGGAAGAAAAACTAAATTTTATGCCAAAAATAATTTTTTTTCTTCTAAATGCCTTGATGATGCCTTGAATTTTTTTTTTATTATTATTATTATTATTATTATTATTATTATTCCTTTAAGAAAATCTTAATGCTTTAATGACTTTTGTGAGACATTCTGCAGATACATTTCCAATTATCCACCCTTTTTACTTCCTTGTACGAAGTAAAAAGGAAATATTGTAATCACGAAAAGTTTCAGGCAGCATATTTCAATAAAAATATACATTTCAACCGCTATTGAATGAAATTTAACGATGTTTTTGCGTGACATCTGTACGTAAGGACAGAATAAAAGACTCTTTTCCTCTAAAAAAATTATAAAACTGCTTTAAAATGAATTCTGAAGAGAATTTTTCGTGGTGTCTATATGTACTGTAATATTTTGTTATTTAACAAATAACTATATTAATTACTGAAGTGGCAACGACATATTTGTATAAGGTAACTGTTGCTCAGCAATGTAAGAAATTGGTTTAAAATTAGATTCTGAAAGTTTTACCAGCTAGTAGTCATATGAAAATTTTGCCACTAAAGAATTTTATTCAAATTATCTATCTCCGTAAAATAAAAATAAAATTTATGTTTTACTAAGAAGATTATCTGTTACTAAAAAGATTTACTAAGAAGATTATCTGTTATTTTGTCAATTACTGCAAAATACATTACAGTATGTACGAACGTACGTATCTTGCATAACTCAATAACGAGTAGCCTCAGAATATCGAAATTTTGTATATAGAACTGCTATAACAGGTAGATGTGCACCTTGTATTTTGATTGCAAGTGGCCGTACCAAACATATATAAATATATTTATATATATTTATATATGTTTGGTGGATATATTTATATATATCCACTCCGTTACCCGGCACAGTGATCTCAGATTCTTTACTCTTATATGTTTCTAAATTGTGCATTTTTTGCTATAAAAATGATTGTTTTATGCCTTTAGGAAATCTGCAAGCAATATTTTTAGAATTATCAACAATTTAAAAGCTGTTTAAGTGCGGTTAAGCCTAATTTTTAAATATCATAGCAGACATGTTTGTTTACATTTGAAACAGCAGAATAGTAGATTTGTTGCCAATCTAGAGAGACTAAGCTTCGCCACAACAAAGATAATGCCTTCATTTATTATTGCGAATTAAATCATCCTTAATCCTTTCTGGAATTTTTTCGAGGAAATAATAAGTATTTAAGATTTACTTCATAATTTTTAATACAGATATTTTGAATTTTTATGTATGTTTGCCTTGTCGCAAAGTGAGAACTGAATTAATTGAATGAGAAATACTCAATCGTCTGTGAAAAAAAACTGTTTCGTTTTTGTTTAGTTTGCTCAATTTCTTTATACATCGTTAGAGCATGTGGCAACGATAAGATAATTCTTCAAATGTTATACATTTTGTGCATTCTGAATTATAATATGAATGAAATATTAAGTGAACTTAGTGCCAGAGTGTCGCTGTGGTAAACAAATATAGTGAATTTTAAAGAGTGCATTTCTTCTATTGTGGTTTATGAGCCATCGACGAAGTAGATTTAATTCAATCCAATCAGTTTAGAGGAAATGCAAGAAAAAAAATGTGTATAATTTAATGTTCCATACAAGGAAGTCATGTGATGTACACATCAGATTTTTTTATTTACTGTGTAGCATAAGTACTTTTGAAACAGCTTGGTTTCTGTGGCAGTCTTATAAGAACAGGTATCACCTGCTGTTTCATCTGTATTTGATCACAGTAAAATAATGAAGAGATTTTAACCATGATACTGAACATCTTCAAAGGCTAAACATTTTGAAGGCATAAGATGGAAGAGAAGATTGGTTTCATCAACACTGGAAATGTCTTTAGTTGACATTTTTATACTTCTTTGGATGAAGTATTCAATCGTCAATAGATCTGGCTGAGACAACTTTGGATTCTCTGCCTATGATATGACACTCTATGCTGTAATTTAAATTATACAGCCATTCAGTTAAAAGAACAGTTGCCCTTCATATTCACTTGTAGTGTTATTTCTTGTGTCTTTTCCTTTAGCATAGGCCAATTAAATGGAATATTTGAGCATCAGGAGATTTTTTTTAATATTTTGAATACTTTTATCATCTTTAAAATTGTAAATAATTAAATTTTGAAGAGAACTTGTCATCAATTTATAGCAACTTGCTGTGTTCCAAAAATTTTAATATAATTTAAATATACTAAAAATTTTATACTAAAAGGAAGAAATAACTATTAAAAAAATTATATTGAAAATGAAATCTTACTTCCGAACATCAAAAGTCTTTTCAGTTTTCCCCAACAATGCCATACAGATCATGAGCAGGAAACTTTGGCTCTTCATATTTCACAACAGTAACCTTATAGACATACAAAAAACAAATACTTAGAATTTTAAGATATTTCTAAGAAATTTATAATTTAAATAATTTAGTAATTATTTTTACTAAAGTTAATTATTCCATTTATTCCTTATTATATTTTTATAAAAACACAAAAACAAAGTACATTTTACAGAATAAATAACATACATTTTCATGAACAGGTTGCTTTCTGTTGAGATTATTCACTATTCTACGTGTTAAATGTAAAGCATGTTCATCATCTGTTGCATAATAATCTGTAACTCCTGATTTCCTGATAAAGAACAAAGATTTATCGTTAATTTGAAATAACGAGTAATTTATGATAAAATCATTTTCTATAACATGTCTCTAAATAATTTATGTCATACTCTGAAAATTTCTTTACAGAAGATAAAAAGCAACTAAACAAATCTCAGTTTAATAAGAATAATTTTTAAGTAGGTACACATTGTACCCTGCTTTAGAATATTTTGAATTTCTTATTCATAATCAAATATTTTCAAAATAAAAATCTAGTAATACATCAAAGACATAAAATCATTATTATACTTTGTAACTAAAAGTAACACTTAAACTTTATTATGCCAATGTTAAAAAATTAATACCAAATCAAATCAATCATGGTTACACTAGATTATTTGATTAAAGCAAAACATACAAGGGCTATCTGCTTAAGGAAAATGCCTTTGTGGGGGACCTTCTAAGAGAAACTGGCTTGTATTTACGTTACACATGGAAAAAAATTATAAAACTATTCATGAAACCAGCTTTTTTGCCCAAGTTCAAATCTGGGTTGAATTATCAGTATTCAGTAGGCTTAAAACTCAGCCACTGGTGAGGCATATAAAGCACTGAATGAGAGAATATATTGTTTAAATAATTATTTAATATTGTTGTTTCTTACGGCTTTATTCGAAAATCAATCCATTTACATCAGGACCCTTAACCCCCCCCCAAAAAAAATCAATATTACATCACAAAAATTTTAAAATACTTAAGAATTACAGCACTAAAATCTTTATAATACCAAAAAAAAATTAAGAGGTAAAAATTTTGCAATTAAAATCTTAAAAAATCCTCAGTGATTAGAGGTGAAACAACTGTGTGCTCAGGACCCTAGCCATCCAATACCCTAGCCATCCAATACAACTGGTGAACCAGTTCCCTTACCAGTTCAACCATACAACCAGTTCCCTAGCCATCCAATACAACTGGTGAACATCACCACTATATTGTTACTTATTGTCAAGGTCTGGACAGACGAGCAAGAACTGCTTACTTATAGTGTCTGTTTTACAAATAGGACTATATGTTCCCACTGTGGATATGTTCTCACGCCTCTACGAAGGACCTGATGGCAAAACACCCTTAGCTAGAGGTTACCCTCTACAGCGAAGTGCTAAAAAGGAGACCAAGTCAACGCACAGCTGAAAATGATGAAGGTCAGTCTGGGCCCCGATAAACTGCAGGATCTCATCGAAAAAATACTGCAACTACTCACAAGCATCAAGAAAGCCAAAACTACTGCCGAAAAGCTCTCAATCGGCTTCAAAGCTGCAGTTTACCTAATGAAAATTGCTGAAGAAGAATTCTAGAGTTCTGCATTCCAGTGTCGAGGAGAATCTTTAACTTTCTCAACTGTTCTACATCGCTTCAATGTCCCTTAACAGGATTCCTAAGCAGCATCGTTCGGGGTCAGCTCTTTGGAGGGTGACCTCCCACATGACTGGCTCCAGCGAATCAGATGTTAGCACCTTCGAATCTCGCGCTTTTCGATGATTTGCAGGACTGTTCGTACCAGCTTATCGCTTTCTACCTGTTTCGGCAGAATTTACAGCTCTCGTAACCCAAGATTAAGTACTTTTTATGTTGTGTAATTATATTTTTCTTTCTCACAACTATTCTAGGTCCTCATCTTGGTTATTTCCTGTCATCAATCGAAACTTCTAGCTGTTCTACAAGGGGTAGGGCCTTCGGCCTAGGTACCCTGGTGTACCAAACACCGCTCCACTGGGGAAGTGCTACGAGTCAGTATGCCTATTCTACTAAGATGTTCCGCTAAGCATGTAGAGAGAATAGGTTTCTTGGAAGCAGGCAAGATGAAAACTCAGCAACCGCCTTCGCCAGGAATTGAACAACGGACCTCTGAAATACTGGCCCAGCGTGCAGAACCACTACACCACGAAGGCACATTAGGAAGGCGGGAGAAATACCTTATAAGCAGTCGTGCCCTATATGCAATCTGAAATTAGCCATAACCTCTCTTACATGGCCTGCGAACGAACTCATTCCAATCATTCCTGATATTGAGTTTACCCTTCAATTAAATTGATAGTTCTGTGTTGTAAGCTGCCAAAAGATTCTCTCGTATGCTTCTTCTAAGGGAATTCAAAGGAATGGAACTCTAAATAAATAACTCTGTACCCCTCTTTGCCAAGAGATCTGCGATTTCATTGCCATCAATACCGATGTGGGATGGCATCCACTGAAATTCTACTGCTTCACTGTTCCTATTTAGTTCTCTGATATCTCATTTTATTTTTGACACAAGAGGAGGCTCAGAGTGGAGATGAAGAGCTATTCCCTCTATAGGCAACTCAGAATCAACAAGAATGTAATGATGGCCTTTGTAAAAAACTCAATTCTAGATTTCAAATTAGACACAGCCCCCCCCCACACACACACAAAAATAAAAGACTTCTGCATCAAAGTCTGAAAAATGTTGACCCACTGGAATCAACAGTTTGCAGTATACACCTGCGCAAGCAGCATTATTCATTCTAGAGCCATCTGTAAATTTGTGTATCCATTACGGTTCAGGATAGTTGGTCAAATGGTTTTCAATTTCACTGCTCACTATTGGGCAATAACTATCCTGAACATCAATGGATATGTGTACACTAATTATTTAATATAGCTAATCGAATTATCAAATCACCAAAAAAAATATTAAGAAGTTGATATCTTTTAAAAATCAATGCAGGTAGGTTATTTAATTAACTAATATAATACTAGGTTGTAATGAGATGTTTTGCATTAAAATAAATATTTCAATAACCTTCATCTATGAATCATCATATTAGTATATTTTCCTTTCATAATTTCAACTTTTATTTACAGGACAAAGAGATACACGCTCATTTGAAATGGAAAATTTTAATAAGTAATTTAAATTAAAATTAACAAATTTAAGTTTATTAATTTGATATACCAGTTCTCAAATTGTGAATGCATAAATAAGCTCTGGAAATGCAAGTAGCTCTCGAGAAAAATTTGGCAATATAAGAAGAAGAAAAACAAAAAAGTTGCATAGAATTTTTTAAATGAATATACTTTCCTTTGATTGACTGCTGAACATGCTTGCCTATGTTGACAAACTATTATTTTCCTTGAGGCATGCATTACTGAATTTTGATATTTCACTTAAGGCTTATTCTTTTGATACATTCTGATTATCCGCAACCCCATGAAATGCTTCCAACTGATTGCGACTTTATGAATTGACAGAAAAATGCTTATTTGGTTTAATTTTACAGCTCATGAGTACTGTTATACTCATAAAATAATAATGAAAATGATTATTTTATAAGAAACAATTAAATTTATGAGGAAAACAAAAGTCTGTAAGGTCAATATTTATATAATTTTAGTTGACGCAAAATGATAGATAAATACAAAACAAAGAAATCCACATGTACTGAAACATGAGTTTGGATTAGCTATCATCGCATATCTACTCTAACCCGGCGAACAAACTGGCTGCATGGGTGTTTTCATGATTTTTCACAGGTATAATGTTTATGCAGTACCTTGTGGATGCATACGCGAATAAAGCCGGTTAAAATCACCGGACACTGGTAGTTTGGTCCAACTTTCGAATCCTGGTGAATGGGCTGGCTGTATGGGTGATTTCGTGACTTTCCGCATGTGTAACGTGTACGCAGTATCTTGTGGATGCATACATGAATACAGCGAGTGCAACTCAGGTAAAATCGCTGAACACTGGTAGTTCGGCCCAAATTTCGAATCCTGCCAAAAGAAAGACGGCGCAGCCCGCTGCATTAACGGCTGAGCGGTAATCACTGTATTAGTAGTTCGGTCCAAGTTTCGAATGCTGGCGAAATTTAACATGTGAAATCTTTTAGATATGAACACTGGTAGTTCAGTCCAACTTTCGAATAAAGGCCAACGAAAGCGGGCTTCAGCAAGCTCAGCTAGCGGGCTTGCCTGCTAGTATCTACTCTAAAATATTACAGTGACAAGGCAGTTCTCCTGCCCAAACCTAGAGATGCATATAATCATTCTTTTATTATTTTTGAAGTACCCAAATATAAATCTAAAAAGGCAATTTTGCTATAAATAAATAAGAAGATAATCACAAAGAGCATACTATACACATAAAATTCTATACATTTGTCTTAAACTAAATATTAATTATATGATCATCATTTAAAAATTGGCAATTCTACTTTAAATTTTTCCTCATTTGATAATAAGTATTGATCTAGAATCAATACTCCTTGTCAATGCCATAAAAAAAATTTTTGTTCCTAAATTCCAAAGGCTCACACCCCAATCAGCTAGTCACACCCATCTTCTTAATCGTCCCACTGTAAATACTGATCCCAATGTTAATATCTTTAATAATAATATTTCGGAGGATCAGATGAAAGTATTAAAATATATCTTCAACTTTTTACATCTAAACCTTGAAATCCTCAAATCATTGCCCCTATTGAAAAGGCTTTTAAATTCTTTAAAATTTCAGAAACAAAAAAAGATACAATCTGCCACTTAATTATTCATAACAGAATTTTAATAACAAATCATTTGTTTTGAATCTTAACCAAAAGAAAATACAGGCCTTATGTGAAATTTATTATAATTTTTGAAGCAGATAAGGGCGGACAGATCATTATTATGGACAAATACACATATATTGATGGAGTAACAAAACTGATAACTGAAGGCCCATACTGCTCGATCCCTAAAGATCCTCCATCTTCTGATTTTACAAAAGCAGCTGATAATTCTTCTCATTTAATCCAAACTCAGTTTAAAAAATCACTTAATAATTGTGCTAGGTGTTATGCTCTCCCTAATGCCCACAAAATTGGAATTTCCTTTCGACCTCTAATTTCCAGCTTAGGAAAAGCCGTCAGATCCTTTGGCCAAATACTTCATTTCCATATTTTCTTCTTTGCTTTCTAACATTATTCACAATGTAAAAAATTATTCTGAAGTCGCCATTAAATTTAAACATATTTCTCTCTTGCACATCATTATGTTTTCTTTTGATGTTAAATCACTGTTTACAAATGTTCCAGTCGAAGGAGTACTAAAATGTCTTGAAACTAGACTTTGAGAATTATATTTTGCACATAATGAAATTGAAGAGTTAATTTCTTTTAACTTAAGTCTCTTTGAGTCAGACCTACTTTATTTTCCAAAATGAATATTATTGCTAAATTGAAGGATTAGGTATGAATAATCTTCTTAGTCCCGTACTTGCTGATGCTCTATTTTGAGGTCAGATTATTTGAAAAACCATATTTTCATCTCTAAATTCGTAATCAGATGACAAGTTCATACTTTTTGGTGGTAATAAAGAAGATTTATCGCAGATTTTATCTATTATAAATTCAACTGACTCCATCCAGTTCACTTTTAAAACTAAATCTGACAACGGCCTTCTCTTTCCTGATATTCTTATTATCTGCAATGAATCTGATTTCAGCACTATGGTAAACCCTTTTCTATTTGTTTGCCATCAAAGCATCAAAGCCTATGTTCCCTATCAAAGCAATTGGCTTCTTTTTACTGTTATATATTTCACGCTTCTGGAGTTTATTTTTCTGAGCTTTTGCTTGCTAATGAACTCAATTATGTGAGATCAGTTGACAACCTGACCAAAGTCTCCCCCCCCATGTCATTGATAAAGGCCTTTGAAAAATGTTCATCTTGTCATTAAAGAAGATGTTCCACAGTTTGAAATAACATTAATAACCTTGTTGTGCTTCCATTTCATCCTTCTGTCAGTTACAAAAGTGCAAATTCCCCAAAAGTTCAATTTTCAAATCATTGTTTTGCCTATCAATAAAATCCTTAGTTTGATTATTAAAGATGTCATTTCTGACTTTAATTCATGGGGACTTCATTGCATATTTTGTCATTGTGGTTTGAGATATATCGGCCAAACTAAAAGAGTGTTAGAGTTTTGCATCAAGGATATAAATCTTGTGTCCAAAAAATAGACAAGTTTTCAAAAGCTAATCATAGAAATTTAATCATAATTTTGACTTTTGAGTCTGCAAAAATTATCCAAAAAGCTTTTTCTTTCGGTGAGTTGGACTTTCCTGAAACTTTTCACACTAGCAAAAGTTTATCTTGTTTAGTTAATGACTTTAAATTCAATCCAATCCTTCTTAATGCTTTTAAAATTCTATTAACTTAATTTTTCAATTTTAGTTACTATTTCTGCTGACAGATGGCACTACCTTCTCGTTCTCTTTACTCATGTTGGGTATGAATACAGCTGTGGCTTTCCCTTCATTGCAAATGTCTTGTCCTGTTGGCCCTTGAAATTAATAGTCTTGTTAAAACCTACAACAAACGCAAGACTTTTACTTTGTTAATTTCATGCATCTTATTTTTCCTGTTCATACCATCATTACTAAGATGATGGAAAGGAAAAAAAATGCCTGTTTTTATAGATAAGTTTTTCAATAAATTAGAAATGATCTCATTTCCTTTGGTAATAATTTTAAAAAAAAAAGTACCATCTGCAAAATTTTATCACAGAGGTTAGTCATTTACTAACACTCTGTTTAAAAAAAAAAAAAGTTTAACAACTAAAACTTTGAAATATTCTAATGACAGGGAGCAAAAAAATGTAAATGCTAGATTAATTCTGCCAATTAAAGCAAGGAAAAAGATCTCATTACATATAGCATTACATTTTTCATTTTGGTTAATTAACTTTTTGTTAATCAGGAAATCTATTTTAAGAATATAAAATCATGATTTATATCTGCTGATATCGTAAGTTTTCTCTTTGCTTTTACATGACTGAAGGGTCTTCAAAGTGATGTTACACAATTAAAAACATGTGTTTACTTTTACAAATATCCCATAATTAAGTGTTAAAATCAATTTTTACCAAATTTTAAAACGTCAAACAGAGCATTACTAACATATTATTCATAATGCTATTAATCATGACATAAGGAAAGAAACACAAGACAGAAAAACTATACCTGCAATGTAAATCAGCACCACCTAAGTCTTCAGAAGATATTTCTTCTCCAGTTGCTGCTTTCACCTGGATAAATAAATCTTGTATTATAAAATATCATAATTTTTTTACATCAGAATCACTAATGTCTGCAAGTAAGATGCAAGTCAAAATAAATAATGTAATCTAACAGATATAGAGATAACCGTACTACATACAAAAGACAACATAATTATTATTACAGAATACAAGTGCTTAGTTTCTACAAGCTACTTTAACAACTGAACATTTTTATTAAAGTGGCTTAATTATTTAAATTACAAAATGAAGTAGCGATCTTGGATTTATTTTTATTTATGCACACAATAAAAATACATCTTGAAGGAGTTTACATTAAAAACTACCATTGCTGAAGGAAGGGATACACACCCACAATGATTTTACTGTCACACTGAACCAAAACTTTACCATTACTGTCCACACTGAACCAAAATTTCAATGTTGATGAGTAAAAAGATCACAGCTACAGAGAAAAGCTGGTACATAGAACCATTTTTTATATTCAAAATAAATCATTCATTAACCATCTCATAAATCTCCACTGTTTTCTGGTATTCATAAGAAACACCCTGGCAGTTTACTTCCAGCTAATGACCTCCGATAAATTTAAAGCAGCGTGTCAAAGAACTTACTGAATGTGCTATAAAGTTATGCTAGGTTCTTTGAATACAGCAAAGCACACAGGGGGTTATCTGCCTAAGGGAGAAGATGTCTTCAGAAGAGCTGTTAAAGAGAATTGGCTCGAATTTCCATCACACATGAAGAAAACCATGAAAACCAACCAAACAATGAATCTGTTCACCTGGAATCAAACCTAGGTCAAACTCCTAGTATTCAAGCAGTCTTAATCACTCAAATACTGGTTGAGTCAAATGTGCAATAAAACCTCTTGCTGTAAAAATATATTCATGAATTTGAATACTGTTTCTTATTAATAAATTGAATTTAACACCTTACAACTGAAGGCTGAAGTCAGAGACAAAGGATTTGTAAATACAATAAATTAACAGAGAAAATTAATAAAACATTTCAAGTACTGGTACTTTTTGTACCATAACTCCTCAACAATAAAGATTTCTTTTAAATCTGTTTTTTGCCTTCACAAAAAATATACAGCATAAATATACAGTCTGGCAACTAAAATGGATTTTTTTTTTTTTTTTTTTTTTTTTTTTAATGACCAGTATATGGGAGGAGAATGCAAACCTAAATCAGAATAAATTCAAGACTAACATTTAACAGCTAAAAATATAATAGATGTGAAATGCATGGAAAAAGTAAATTACTGTTAAGAGGCAGATGGTTAAACATTGATAAGGTATGTCTTATAAATAACATGAATTAGATGCATTATTAATTATATCAATAAGATATATTATAAAAATAAATTAAATAGGTATGTATATAGATTGTTTGTTGTTGATTATTTAGCCTCGAGAATGGATATTGTGAGGTTGCATGGATGATAAATCGACATATTAATGATGAGAAAATGGAAAGAAATTAACTATAGATTTCTATTGACAAAACTTTGGAATGCTTTTAAAATAAGAGCATTAACACTGCATAACATCTGATAATGCACATTAACATTATATTTTTTAAATTTTTTAATAGTTGTAGGAAATAATGTTTTCATTGATAGATGTCAGAAATATTAATAAATGTTTTTAATAAATTTTTTAACAAGCACACAAATGTTTTCCACCAAAAAGAACAGCTCAGCATAAAAATTTAAAACATATTCTTCCCTGAAATAAAAAGCTTTGCATATTTGTGTTCCACTGAATACATGATTTCTGGTACTGTTAATTCCCTACTTCCAGCAGATCTGAAAATTTCCTGCCCAATATACTAAATAGTATCTGTAATTGACAACAAAATTTTATATTTACTAAACACAATAAAGTAACTGAGGACATTTCTTAAATTATAAAAAAATCTATTTTATCTCATTCACTGTAAAGTATATGAAAGAACTACTCATAGAAGATATTCAACTATACCATTCAGAAAAGAAAATAGATTTTAAAGAGAATATTAAGTTCATATTCCCAAAGAAAATTATAATGATATATTACTCACTATAACTATTAAGGTGTTTTAAAAGAAAATTGAGGAGTTAAGAATTATAATTATATCAAACTGGTAAAAGGTTAATTAAATTTTATTCTAAAAATATAATAAAAACACAATGTGGTAACTAAGTTACTTCACTTATTTCTTTCTTAAATGCACTCAGAACTCTAAGTATTCTAATAAAAGAGTTACATTTTTATAGAGAAAGGCAATTTACATTTCTATAAAGAAACTCAATAATACGTGGAAAGAATCATTTTAGTTGATAAAACTACATCTATGAAAAAAATTTCTTCCAGAAAACTTTAAAAGATTACAATAACTTTCATTTATTAACTATAAAATATAGAGATACCATTTATAAATTAGTTTTTAAACTTAACATATGGTCATTATATGTCAAAGAGAATTACATGCAATATTCTGCAAAATTAAACAGTTTGATAACGGAAAATGAAATAAACTTAGACGACAATGCTAAAAATTGTGCAATGGAGCACCTTTTTCAATTGAAGAAAACTATAATAGCATATTTTTAAGCAAAAACTAAATATAAATGGATAAAAAAACCCATTTGAGTACTATGATAAAGGAACAACTTATTGGCATATCAATAGATTCGATGTTAAAATCCAAATTTAAGCACAAGTAGCTCCTAAATTTTTGGCTGTAGATCCATGAAGTCCTAGAAGTTTCTCACACAGCTATAAACATTTTAATGCTATTTGGAACAATATATTCAAGCAAAAAATCTATCTCGACATATGTGACAAAGGTTCCAATTTTCTCAAATTTTTTTTAAGAGTTTATAATTTCCTTGACTTTTTGCTGATAATTTTTTATTCCCTTTGTTTTCCAGGATTTTTCAAGAGAATTTGTATGCATGTTGAATTAACTTCTTTGTAAAATATTTAAATTTTTTACAAGAAAAAATAGGAAATGGTATCAAAAGCTAAAAATGCTTTCAAACAGATCAATTTATTGCACTTATTTTTCCCTTTATTCTAAATATATGAACATTTTGAAGAAACAAAAGGAATATGGAGGACAAAAGATATATGGAAAAGGAACAAAAGGAATATGCATGTCAAAAGGAATATGGAGGTATCAAACTTGACATTAAACTGACTGTTATGTATTAATTCCATTTCTACACCCTGATGTACTTATATGGGTTTCAACAGTTCTGTTTCAGTTTGATCTAGAATGCATTTAAATAATGCTAGGCATAAGAACAAACATGGATAATTTTATTTTTCATCTTTCCTGCTTCAGTATTTTACCTCATGCAAAATATTTAATTCTCTAATTTCATAGCTTGAAAAAGAGATCTTTCGTGGAGAACATATATGCACACATACACATATCTATATCCAAAAGGCTTAACTTAATAATTTAGTAGAAGTAGACTAAACCATCCTAGGAAAATCTGAAAATGTATTACAAGAAACCTATCACATTTTAAAAACATGAAGCAAAAGTTAAGATGATCCCACACAATTTTTTTGTTGGAGGAGGGGGGGGAATTATTTAAAGTGAACTTACTAATCATATTAAAATTTTATAACATATTTTAGATTATTCATATTTTTATGCTTCAGACCAATTTCTCAAGGGGATCTGAAACATTAAAACCTGAATAATTCAAGAGAACAAGATCATATTTTGTTCTGCATGACCTTTTGAGCAATTAAAGAAAAAATAATAAAATAAACAAAATGAAAATGAAAAGTTATATACAATCTTTACAAGCCAAGCTCACAAAGTTTGTGATTACCCCAACATGAAAATGTCTTGCACATATAAAATAATAATCCTTAAAAATAGAAATTACCATTAAAAATATAAAATACAATGGCAAAGAAATATATATATAATATGTAATAGGATGACTTGTAGAAAGCTTCAACAGATTGCTGATGGTTCTTTGCATTGTAACTTGGAGAAGCTTTACTGTGTAGTTAGAAAGATGACACTTCAAAACAGACGTAGCCGCAAATTCCACAAATAATTTTACTCCTTGATAACTAATTCTTAGGATACATATTCCTTTTCATTGCACATCCTCATTGTACACCTATACACCCCACAATTTTATGCAGATTATATTTTTAGAACCATGGATAATAGATAGCAGAGGTTAAGAGTCAGTGTCAGTGAGCTAAATAGCATCTTGGGTGCAAGGCAGCTGAAGCTAAAGCGTGCACGTATCCAATATGGAAGCTCACCAAGAAAGGTTTTAGTTCTTGAAATTTTGAGTTTAGTTCCGAATTAGCTATGCCATCAGCATTATGCACACCATACAAGATGGATTGATCTAGAAATAATACAGCACAGAAAACTTATTAGAATTTTTTAATTTTTTCCTACAAAGATCAAATAACAGTACTTTCTAAAAGTATAATTTCACCGTATAAAAGTTCTCTGTACGATGATTTTATGCATGTCCTTGTCTACAGAAACACATTTGAAAAAATTCATTGAATTATTTATACTTATTTGCATTATTCACAGCACTCTCAAGTAAAAATTTAAAAATATATAACCACGATTTTCATGCAATCTATATGATAAAAATATGTGTGAGTCTGTCTGTTTGTTTGTGGCATTATCTCCTCCAGTACGGCCAACAGTTGAGCTTCAAGAGCGGCGAGGAGTTCAGTTGAGTCCCGGATTCCAAAAATTCGAGGGAAGCATTGAATTCCAAAAATTCGAGGGAAGCATATCAATAGATTCGATGTTAAAATCCAAATTTAAAGATAAACTTACAGTAATCGGAAAATGTTTCATGTGTTGAGAATTTTTTTTTATTTTGAGAGAAATTTTTATCAGCTTTATGCTTATATTTTGCAGTATTCGACCATTTTCATTGTCGAATGACTTTAACTAGCTATGCTATTAATTAAAAACTTGGAAAAACGGTAATTTTTGCACTAATTTTTTCAATTGGCAACAGTCTTGCACGCTTGAAATAAAAATCTGCTTTATTTCAAAAAGTCTGGCCACTACTCTGTTAATAAAAAATTTGTAAGTTTGATAAAATATGAAGTAAAAATAAAACTGCCAAACATTAAACATATTATTATTATATAAGGTCATATATACATGTTGAAGAAAGCATGCGACTGCATGTGCCATCACTGTAAGTCGAAAATTTTCTCTTACAACATCAGCATTTTAAATAAATAGCCGCTGTTGGCAATTTTATGTTTCAGGTTAGTATAATTGATATAATATGTTATTTCCCCATTAATTATTTAATTAATATTGAAAAAATGTTCTTACATTACATTAAATTTAAATCATAACGTCATATGCATTAACGCGAAATGTTGAATTTTTTTGTTTCCTAGTTTAGCAATACAAAAATTATTTACGTATTAGTTGTTGCTTGGAAAGAATAAACTAATTTCTTTTACACTGAAATGTTTTCATACATTTGTTTTCAGGGGTATGTAGAACTTATAAATTTTGCTTTGGCTGCAGCCTGTTCATTTGGTGAGCTTGCCCGCTAGTGATATTTATATTTATTTCTAGTTTTAACCAACAAGATCAATGCTTATGCATTTACAGATCTTCAAATGTTATAGAATATGATATGAAATTAGCTTTGTCTCCACTTCCTTTTCCTTCCTACAAGGAAGTAAAAAAGGGGGGAATATTATTTTTACAACAAATGCAAGGTCAGAATTTTTACATTTTGAAAGCAACTGCTTTATGTTGAATTTTTATTTTCAAATTTTCCTTTTTTAACAAAAACTTGAAAATAACATTGTAGAGACATTAGGTTAATTGGAAAAGCCAGAGAGATGAAAATTGCCTTTGCCAGGAATCGAACCATGGACCTCTGAAATACAGGTTCAGTGTGCTGACCACTACACCACGAAGACACGCTAGGAAGGCGGAAGAAATACCTTTACAACATGCTGCTACATGGATAAATATTATGACTATCGACCCATAATTGATAAATACATTGCCAACCTATGACACTCAAAAATCAGGAGATTTTTCACAATGTTAAAAAGACTTTTTAAATGATAAAAATATAGTTTTTAATAATGAATTAACTTTAAATAGTTACTCATTCTTAAATGCAAGCAACACAAACGTACCTTACACATAAAAAACTTTTTTATTACTTGCATTGTTTAAGAAAAAAAAGACACTTTAATCAGTTTTCGTACAAACGTTATAAACAGTGGCAGATTTTGCTTTCGTTAAGAAAGAACTTCATAATTTTGTTCATGGCAATTGCCACGTAGGCCTTCTTTCACTAATAAAAGTTTTTCTAGTGTGTCATGACTAATATTAGATCTACATTTAGTCCTCGTTTTCGCAACAACACTGAAAATCCTCTCACACTCTGCATTATTATGGTGAACTGCCAAGATGGCCAACATAATTCTAGACAGTTCACTATATTTTAAAATTCCATCAGCACCTTTCGGTTCTCCAATTAAACTCCACTGGGTGTCAATCCTAGCTGATTTTCTAACTTCATCCAAGTTTCCTTATTGTAAACTGCAAAATTGCGACTGCAATATTATCAGTGGCAACATCAATATCATTATCTTTCATGACTAAATGAAGTAACACATGAAATCTGTTCAAAAAGTACCTTATATCAGAAAAAGATGCATTGCAGAGCAGAAACATCAGCAACTTTAGCATGCAAAATCACTTCGTCGTTGACTAGAAATTTATGTAGTATGTAATCACATACTCAACAGAAGTAACTTCTCACATGAAGAATAAAACTTATTTTTGTCCTCTTCTGAAAGTTCTTCCACTACTTTTGTAGTTGCAGCTCCTATTACCAAATCTTCATCTTTCTTCTGATTTTCTATTTCACCATAAATCACATCATATATAGAATAATTACAAGACAAAACACAGACTGGTTTTACAAGCCTTGATAAAATGTCTTTAAACAGATCATAAATCATTGATTGCAAAACATGAATTAATGGAATCCTGCTTTGTAGAACTGTGTTAATATCATCGAATGATGGCAGAATGAATTGTAAAAAAAAGCAAAAAAGCTTTGTTAAGGTCCGAAGGAAAAAAAATAAAATATTCGTCTTCACGAGATAAACTTACAGTAATCGGAAAATGTTTCGTGTGTTGAGAAATTTTTTTTATTTGAGAGAGAAATTTGTATCAGCTTTATGCTATATTTTGCAGTATTATTTCAAAACTGCAGCTGATTGCTGAATGGTGCAGAAAATTACTTTAATTTTCTCAAAGGTTTTTAACAATGGAAGTAGTAACTACATCTCCATTTACTTTAGGTATTTTATAACTTTCAATAGAGCCTTTTATCTTAACTCTCGAAGCATTTACTTCTTTAAAAAATACAAGTGGGTTTCATTGATCAAGGATTCTAGATAAGCATTTCTTTAAAGACAGCCAGTGTGTACACACATTTAAAAATTTTTCTCATTTCAGTATTATGCAGCTGTTGGAACTGTTTCAATTTTTCCTTCCTTTTAGAAGTCCTTTCAAGATAATAATAAATATCAACAATGTGTTCATCCACATTTATTGGAAAAAGAAGCTGCCCCTTTTTCAGCTGCTAAATTTAAGAGGTGCCAGGTGCACCTCATAAAATGCCTGCAACACCAGTCTTCAAGCCTACCATTAATCGGCACCAAGTGCTAAGCAATTACCCAGAGGGACTGCATTTTCTTTTAAAGTTTTAATAATTAGCTGTGCTATATTAAAGCCTGTCGAATGTCCTTCTAAAGTGGGGACAGAAAGTAAACTGCACTCAATTTCTGAAGACTCTGAATTAAAGAAAGAAAAACAACAATTGGATACAGTTTTGAATCGGTTATTATTGCTTCATCGTAGAGGAGGCAGAACGGAGCTGTTTTATTGCAATCAATAACTGAAGATTTATTTTTCAAACCCATTTTTTTAACAAATGCACATGTTTTGGTCCTTGCACTTGAGTATTTCTTGGTGATTTTACTATTGGGAAGCATTTTCTAAATAAAGCTGCAGCATGATCCAATGCATTCAGTGGCAGATTGTGCTCCAGTAAAAAGGCAGAGAACCAAAATTCTGCATTAATAACTTTTGGGTCGGTCCTTTGTATCCGAAGAAAAATTTAATTTTTCGTTTTTTCAAAACAACTCATGTTGTCCTTGTGTTTTTGTGTACGCACATATTTGAGAACATCCGCCCTTCTATCATGCGAAATCAAAAAATTGCAACAACAGACGGTACACATCGCAAATTTATTACATTTCCTTGGGGAAATAATGGAAGGAAAGTCAACTGTGTACGATTTTTGAAACGTACACAAGTTTTTTTACCTTTCTCACAGACATAACAAAAGATGATAATTTCTAAAACTATTTCTCAAAGGCACGTGTACTCGCACAACTCAGTACAAGATGAACGAAATAACTAAAAAACATCCAAATAACAGCCTTGAGCTTGCTTTATGCTCATTGGCTAATATATGCCAGATGACACGCAGTGGAGTTCGATGCCCATTGAAGCAGAAATTCTCATCTGATTCACAAGGTTTTGTTTTAGATATTATCTAGAAAAAATTCAATTGCTTTCAGACGTCTAAAATCCCCGCCCCTCTTTTTGTGTGTGTGTGTGTGTGTGTTCATATAACAATGGATTAAGCCAAGTTCCAATAAAACTCGTAAGAAATTTTAAGAATAAGAAAAAGTCGGGAAAAATATATTGTATATCAGGTTGGCGGGAGAGCAGTCGAAAATCGGGAGTCTTCCACTTTAATCGGGAGAGTTGGCAACTCTGTAAATATTATAACTACTGCATGGGAACTCTTGTTAAAAATATCAGATTTCAAATTTTGTTGGCAGGACCACTTACACAAAACAAGGAAGAAAAGAGCTGAGATGTAAAGAAACAAACATCTAACAGTCTATCTACAAGTTAAAATAACTGCCAAAATCTGCATTACCCTATTTTAAATGTCAAAATTTGTTAAGATGGTTTTATATACAAAGGAATAATAGAAATAATAAATATTAGTTAGAATTTATAAGCATTCAATAACTCACCAAAGGTGGGCCACCTAGAAATATTGTTCCTTGCTGTTTAACGATAATGCTTTCATCAGCCATTGCTGGAACATAAGCACCTCCAGCAGTACAACTGCCCATCACAACAGCTATCTAAGAATAGTGAAATGCATTTTAAGTCACACATTCATTATTAATAAATGAAAAATGATCAAAAGAGGCTAAAAGTCAAAATTGATATCATTTGTCATGTAACAACAGCTAAATTTTTATTTAAAAAGTTAAAAGTAAGTTATAAAAACAAAAGACTCCCATTTCTATCAAAATTCATTACAACTTCTGCATTACATTTCATATTTGTATTATGTTTTTATTAATATCATATCTTTATACATAAATATTTAAAATTTTTTTATTTAAAAAACTTCATTACCATGGATTTGCTCATTCATTCACTATTTTTTTAGTTAATCTAAATGCACAAAAATTAATCACTTTAAAAGCGAATGTGATAAATACAGCAATAAAAAATGTAACCTAGATATAAAAGTTTTAAAATGATTTTTACAGCTGCAAGGAATAATTCTTTTCACTTAATAACTACAATCTGTCTCTTAAACATTTTGTATCATTATAATAAAATAAACTAAACAATATATATAAATATATATATATATATATATTTTTTTTTTATTTTTAAAAACAGTATATTCAACCGGCTGGGGGGAAAATAATAAAACTGCTACAAAAAACAGTATGTAATCAAATAAGCTACGTTATTTAAAGTATTCTTACATCCCTAAAAGTTTGCTGGTCACCATTTAACTACGGCTCCCAATTTCGATTCAGTCCTCTGTGCTCATAGATTCATCTGAACACAGAAATCTATCTAAGTGTTTTAAACCAAGTCTAGCTCCAGGCATAGGTAAAACAAGCAGCTGCCCAGGGCCCTAATTTATGAAAAAGACCAGGTAACTTGTTTTCACAAGCAACAATTAAATAAAGGTATTAATATGTTTAATTTATATGACACACTAATTATACTGATTTCCTCAAGTGCTGAAAATGCAACAGCTAGGCTTGTTTTAAACAATTCTGTTTTATCCATATGGTGACAACAACTTGGATATGGGCTTATTCCTACTTGAACATAATTATGTAAAAAAAAAGTATACCCATACAAAACTGTTTTATTGATATGGATATTGAAAAATGAGTGATCTGCTGACAGCTCTAGCTTCAACTCTAAGAACAAACTGGAATATCAGCTGCCAGACATGCCAATTCACCTGATATCAAAACAAATTTGACCATTGCTCTTTTGCATGAATGGTATTCACTTCCAATTGCAGTATTAAAAAAATTAGTGCATAGCCTTCCTCATATACTGGTAGTTGTAATCCGAGTAAAAGTCATAATATCATCGCATCAATTCCTTACTTTCTTGCACAAATAAACAATATGCCAAGACACTTCTGGATACATAAGTTGCCTAGATACTTCTAGATATATCAGGTATTCTGACAATTCTGATTTTAAAAAAATGTGCTTCACATTCATAAAGCTTAGCAGACAAACTAGCCTAATATCATGTTCATTGGAAGAGTTCACATTCATTTTATTCCACTGAAGTAATAGTTGAATATACAACTCGAATGAACAAGACAACTTCTGTCCTAAGGCTGCCACTAAACGCCAATCAGAATTAAGTGCCGTCCCGCCACATGAACAATCTACCATGTTGCGACCCCACAGAGCAAGGACAGACAAGGCAGTACCAGTTACGGTCCCTGCCGAGCCTTACTCTGTCCCGAGGACCCTCAGGCTTTCTGTGAAGTTTGTTTGTTTGCCCCCGTGGTTGAGACTGCCTAGGTACAGATCCTAACCAGTACTTTCCAGGGATTTCCCTGAGTCAACCCCTGGGGTGAAGTTGAATATACAGTAGAACATAAGTTAACAAACAAAATTTCTAAATGAAAAATGTCTTGGATGACAAATGATATCTCAAGATACGAAAAAGTTAACTGGTAACAAATAATATTCCAGCATACATTTAATATGGTGGAGGAAATACCTTTCCAGCGATGAGAAACAGGGATGAGAAAATCATGTGTGTGATCCCTGTAAGTCATTGTTTTCAAGCTTTTACAATGAGTCACACGATATTGTCTGACATCGCAGACGCAATAATTTGCTTCAATTGACAGTACAAGAGACATAACTTCACGATCACTGTCAAGAGATTTTACATTCCAGATGTAATGAATCACAGGATGTAAAATACTACTGAAAAATTAAGGAGGCGTGGCTAATTCAGTCGGCAGATTTTTTTTTCTAACCGAACAATATGCCAGAATGCTCTTGAACTCTCCTCTACAGAGACCACACTACCTGAAAAATGGGGAAAACAATCAAGGAATTCGAAAATTGACCTAAAAAAATTGGGGAAAAGTCAGGGAATTTAAATATTTAGTCAAAATCTGGAAAAGTCAGGGAATTTCATATGGTGATCCCCAAAAGAGCGAGTTTTGTGCCAATGTTGGAATCAATCACTTTCTTGCAAACTGTTTTGCGTGAGCATCATTCAAGCAGCTGGCCTAGAGGCAATTTTCACAGCTCCAATAAGATTGTCTTTTAGAAAGGCAAAGCGAGGCTCCAGTAACCTCGAGAATTGAGAGACTCACATGTGCATATTTAGTGCATGTCAAACTAAAGAATATACCTTCCCATTCACATAAAAAACAAAATCAGTTTAATCCTAGTACACTGGATTTGGTGCCATTTTGAGGAACAGTAAATCCATCATTTTGGTGTTGGTGACAATTTTCAAGATCGTGTCTAGGCTGTTGTTGCATATACTAGGATTTTATTGCGAAATCTTTTACACTTTCTTTTTAACAAATGCCTTATTTGCCATTTTGCAGTAAAATAAAAAAACAGTAATCAGTCATCTAGGCTAACCATTTTATAAAACAATGTTTGCCAAAAAATTTTATATTATTGTAATTCAATTTTTAAGTAATTAACTTTATTTTAAGATTATTCATATCTTTTAATGTTGCTTCTTCCCTCTAAGTTTATTTATTATTAGTTAATAATACTTCCAAACTTCAGGCAATTTTCTCTGGCATAATCATGAAACTAATTCTAGCAATATGATGACATACTATGATGAAATTTAATGCACACATTTTTTTCTTATGTATGCTACTAAATAAATATAAACTACTTATGTAATCATAAGTCATATGTAATTGGAAAATTTTTGTGTTTCCAAGTGGTTCCATAATTAATTTACCTTTCAGGACAGCCAACACATACTACATGGATAGACTGAAATTTTCTTAAAATACACCTGGGAAAGTTATGGAATTTCATTCTCCTGTTTGAGTGGCAACCCTGTGGTAAGCAACCTCATAAATCTACTAATCATTATATGGAGTCAGAAAAGCTACCTGCCGCCAGTTACTTACAATGGTAACCATACAAATCATGTTATGGCTAAGAAAATGTGAGATACAATTTGATCTGCCCACAATTACCAACCATATCACAAAATGTTCGCATACTGTAGCAAATTTAGACTCGTCAACTTTACCACATGTCTCAGATTTAACCTTTTACATGCTACACTATGATCCAGGAATAAAAGGCACAACTAATTCATCAAATTCACAGTAGAATACACCCATAAAGACTATAAAACAAAAAACAAAATTGCAGTAAAAAAGTTTAACTCTATAATTTCCTGAATGTTCCATTTTTGGAACATTGGCAGGTAACGTTTCCTTTTTTTTTTTAGCTTCATCAAAACAAAGTGTTGTATGACAAAGCTTTTAAAATTTCATGCCATAATTGTTCTTTACTAAACAATTGTTTTAAACAATTTGATGTGAAATTACTAAAATTTAAGTAAAACTCATCAAAAAAATTTACATAATTTTTATTTACATAAATTAATGTGTGTAATTATTGAATATTTTATAAGAAATGCAATGCAAAATGGATAAAGAAACAATAAAATCAATTTTACACTTACACAAGCTTGACTAACAATATACATAATATGTATAAATGCAATTTTAAAAATGTAAAATAACTTACCAATAAAAAGTAAAATATTTTATCCTTTAGAAGGCACGTGGGATTTCAACCAGTAGCACAAAAAATATAAAACAATCTAACACACTAATTTTTTGTAATCCTTTTTAGCAGTTTTTCAATGTCCATGGCATTGTGACATTCAGTGTCCATAACAGTGTATGTGGAGCTTGTTTTTGCATTCAGAATACATGTTTGTAGTGTTTTTTGGCACACTACACTATGCCCTTGTGATGATGAAACTATTAATGTGTGTCTGATTTTCTTGCAGACATCGACTGATATAGACAGCGTTGTAAATTAATCAGGCATTTGAGAATAAATAAATAAAATGTTTTTTCTAATTCACTTCTGGTAACCATAGAAATGCCAAGATGCGTGCACGTCAAACACGTCAACTATGTTAATCACGTGATATTCATTTATCCCATGATCCTCTTGTTCTATAGTTATTATAAGGCTTCTGTATGTGCTTGTATTAACAGTAAAGCATCCCATCACTTATATTATTTTAGTTGCAGTAGAATAAATATGTTATTTGTGTTTAAATCTGCATCGTATTATTTATGGATAAATCCCTCATATCATCATCAATAAAGTTTCAGAGACAACTGCCGCTACTGAATGCACAAAAGGTAAGCTGCTTTCGCTATCTTTATTCTTCATACAGTGTCCAGGTATAAAGTGAGTTCTAGCTCGAAGCAAATTCAAAGTAACTTCTCTTCTAAAATTCCTTGTGTTATTTCTAATACGCTTTTTTTTTTCTTTTTTAATGCCTGTGTGTGTGTAAATCAGCGTGTGAGATCCACCCAGCAGCCACAATTATATTCAGTCTGTTCATGCATAAGCTCCAGTATCATTTTTTGATACGAAATTTTTGGTCGATAACTCCGTTCATTACTTCATTACATAATTTTATAATGTAAGGTTGGGGAATATCAACTTTTTTTTTTTTTTTTTTTTTTTTTTTTTTAAAAAAGCTCAGGCATACCTTTTTGCTGTTCTTAAAAGTTTGTGAACAATATAAAATTTGATGCAATAGTTACAACAGA